CACTATTAGCATCCCCTAGCTGCGTTAACTTCCTTCTGCAAAACTCTACTTTCAAACATCAGACGAAGATATTGGTCCCTGTGTTACCCTTTGTGCCTCAATTTGAAGGCAATCTCTTCATGCCTTTTTCCCATGTAATCTAGCTATTGATCATCGATTTTTGGCCTTTAATTAGCTATTATCACCTTGTCAGACGCAGTTGGAAGTGAATCAAAGAGTTATCTTTGTAAATGTGAAAGCGGATTGATTCTCAAGTCATGCATGCCACTATATGCTGAGCAAAATCCGCTGCCGTTTTTTAAATCCTTAAACATGCGGTTGGTTTTATGAAGATTCTACGCATTTGTTGTTCGAGTTTTATTGGAGTTTGTATCATTCGAGTTTATATCACTTAGTTTGAAGTGGTGAACAAAAAGTGATTGTTTTATGACCACCCGAGTAGTTGTGGGATGACTTTGATTTTGATTGTTTGATGGTGTTTTTTGCGAATACTTACCGCGTCGTATTTGGCGAATAGCTGTTCAATGTAGGATTGAAGTTTGTCCAACTGTTCCGACGATAAGGCCATCTTGTCTTGTCTTTTGGCTGTATAGATGATACTAGTACAGAAATTGGTGCCACTGGTTCTTTTAGAACCACTCAAGCGGTTGAGTGTTGGTTGAACAGTTTTTGTGTTTTGTGAACAGATTTTTTTCCGTATATTGCGAGACGGAATCCTTTTCAAGAGGTTTTTTTCGCTATGTTTGTCACAACTAGTCACAGTTGGTTGTAATTTTGACGCCAAGAAGACAGCTGATATGCGTGGCTGAGTCTGTGTTTTGGTGTTGTGTTGCTTTCTTGGTGTACTGTTTGTGCTGCAGATTGATTGACTTACTCGGAATGAGAAGCGAGATTGAGGATCGAAAAGTGTGCCTCTCTTTTGTTTGGATAAGTGGAGTAATAAAAGAAGTGGATCAACTAGCTTAACTGTTGTTGAATTACAATAGTTGCAGCAGTTGCTTTTGTTCCCAGTTGAGAGATAAAGATAGAGAGAGAGTGCTAGTTGTTAGGAGGAATTGAAGATGGTATGGCTAAGATAAGGTGATGTGATGTGAGGAGAGGTTAGATCAATCAAAATGGCCACTTGTATTTGACAAATATTTGTGCCAATGTTTCAATAAATCGGTTAACTGCCCAGACAATAAAAACCGGCTGTCGATTGGAGTTGAACTGAAAAAGAAAAAGAGAAACGAACAAAGAAAGTTCAGTTATATTTGATAACTAGGTTAGATTTAATATAGAACTAGTAGTAGTTAGTGCTAGAAGAAGCGGTAGTAGCTGGACTACTGCAGTTGACTAATGAAAGAGGATTCTTTATTTCAACCTGGGCGGAACTAGGAAGCGGCGATCGTGGGGGCTTTTCCTCCCTCAAGGCTGGTCGGGCGGGCGAATTAGCGTTGGGAACGGCGGAGTGTTCAACAATATTCAGCCAATGGCGGCTGCAGACGGACACTGCTGTGTGTGGCGTGGCTGTTTTCCTGTTGGAGGCCGCACTAAAGATTTTTAGATCTAGAAGAAGAAAAATAACTATGCCAATGATTCAACAGCGCGAGATCCCAAATTAGATTTAGTCTAAAAACAAGGGTAGTTGCAACTTTGAACTGGCTAGTGTATGTTATGTTAAAATTAGAAACGGGTGAAGGGTGAGGAAATTGATGGGCAAAATTGGTTTGCAATGGAGCTGGGCAGGAAGCGTGCTTCCCGAATCAATGTCTCATCAAGTGTCTCGCGGCCTTCTTTTTCCAGGTGCCAACGGGTAAATCCGCCGTCCAACCGGCAACTAATTTGGTCAAAAAAGTGAACATGGTTGGTAAAAAAGGGAGAGAGGAGACGAGACAAGATAAGCGATGAGTTTGAGGGTTCGAATTGGGCTCAAAGAGAGAGCTTGAAGGCAAATAGGTCGCACCAAAATGGAGCTAGTCTTCAGTTTTGTCTCTGAAGATATTGAAAATTAACTGCCGATTTACTGATCTAAGAATGCACTGGGCCCAACAAAGGACCACCTAAATCAAATTTGATTCTCATTTTGTTGCCAAGTGCACTGTTTTGTTAGCTCCCTGAAGTGATTTTTTTGAACCTATTAATTGGGTTTGTCATTTATCAATTTGACATCTATGGCAAAATCGTGAAAACATGAAACCTAATTTCAGGATAGGATTTAATTTTCACTTTGATTTATTTTGCCGCTCCAAATCGGGGAACACTTGACTAGCGCTTATTTTTGTTACCCTCTGAAAGTTAAGTTATAATTTATTTCGACCGAAAAGCAATGACTTTTTTATTTTTCAAATAAAATCTTCCAAACAAATTGCCGATCAGTTGAGCAAAAACTGCTCCAAACTAGGTCATGAAATAGTTCGGTTGACAGTTATTGGAATGAGTGAGTTCGTGTGTATTGGCGAAATGATTTATTTGGAGATTAATTGCATTAGCGCCTGCTTCTTCTGATACATTAGCACCTGTGTGAACAAAGTGTGGCCTCTGAAGCGGTCTGGTTGTTTGAAAGCTAGCTCTAATTTGCAGTTGTTTTTGACCTCTTTCAGCTACACGACTAGTTGAAAGTGGAGTAGTGAATTTGATGTTTCTGAAACTCAGACTGAGGATCCTAATGGCCTTTGCTCTCCCAAATGTAGAGTTTTTACTCGAAAAACGGAGCTTGTAAAATAAACCAAAGTGATTGGAATCTTTGCAGAAGTGGACATTAGAGTAAATAATAGTTGAAAAGCACTGGAGCTGGCCAGAAGCGGAAAAGGTATTTCATGTGTTTAGGCAAAATGGACCGTTTTCAAATTGTTTTTTTTTCTTCCATTTCTATTTTTTTCAGTTTCTAAAAAAAATACCCCAACAATCTGAAAGTAAAACTTCAAGCGACAGAAAATGTTCTGGGGACTTCCCCTGCATAAGCTGCTGTGCCTTTGTTTTGGTAGAAAAAGAGTTATGGGCCTAGAAAATGTCCAAGTTTTGATCGTATCTTGAAAACTTTTTTCTTTTTCTCGAAAACTACCCTACCAAACTCACTTGGTACACTCGCAAGAAAAGTACACTCGCAAGAACTGGTGTGAGAAACTCTCCCTGCATAAACGGCTATGCTCTAATTTTTGTGCACAAAAAAGTTAAAGTCATCAAAATAGTCTATTTTTGAAGTTTTAACCATTTTTTGGAAAAATTTGACTTCCTGTCAAATGTGCGATAAGGATTCAATCGAAACAAAAGTTAGCAGCTACGCTCATATTTTTTGCAGAAATTTAGTTTTGATTTAGGGTTTTGACAAAAATTTTAGATTTTTCTACCGTTTTTGAAAATCGACCATGCCAAATCTGGGCGTAAAGGTTCATTTGAACGAAAGTTGATGAGTTTTTTTGCGTAGTGCCTACACCTTAATATTTGAAATAACGCAATGGTGGGTTTAAAAAAGTCCACGTTTTGAAACGTTGACCGTCTGTTACGCTCGCGATTAGCAAACGTTATCAAATCTGAATTTTAGACTTTTTCAAACTGAAAGTATTCCTTTCCAAAAAAACGTCGGCCTATAATTTGTCTGCTTATGTTTTGTCGGCTTATTTGCCCGATCAATTTTTAATGTAAATGCTTTTGGTGTTTTGAATTACTCCTGCAGTTTTTAATTTTACTAGCCTCGTCTTAAAAACTATATTCGGGTTAGTGGATTTAGTCCTATATTTTGTCGGCTTAGTGATCAAATTTGGGGTCATTTCTAGGGAAGCGTAGGTTTTATGCTTCATTCTGGATCACAAAAAAATGCTGAAATTTTTAGAAGTGAGTTGCACTGCTAGTTCGAATTTTTGCTCGAAAAAATTATATTTTTGGTTCTACGGGAAACTATTTGAATTTCGTCAGCTCAGTTACCTCTTGATAATTTTTTTTGAATTTTCATTAATTGCTGTTGATTGTGTTTCTGGAAGTGTTTTCTGCAAAGTGAACATAATTTCAGACAACATTTTGAGTTTTGTGAAGTTTTTTTTTCCAATTTGTTAGACTTAGTGACTTTCTTTTCCTGTCTTCTAGCTTGCACTGCTATTTTTTCTGTAGCGCATTTGGTGCGAAGCTTTGGTGCTACTTTTGCTGCGTCGAATTGGCAATTTATTAGCATATGTACATGCGTTATTGGTGGCTAGTTTTTGGGGATTTTAAGCATCCGTGGCTGAGTGATTACTGCGTGGTTGCTGCTAGGTCACAGATTTAAATCCGACGCGTAGTCGAGTATTTAGCTTATTTTTGCGAAGTGCAGCTTTGCCTCTACATAAATTTTAAAACGTTTATGCTAGTCGAGCTTTATGCTAGTCAATACACCGCTGGAAGTAGCCTTGATTTTGCTTCTTATTCTCTAACACAAGAAATACTCCAATAAACATCATCGCTTAAGTTTTTTTAAATCAAATTGAAGACAATTAAGTGTGATTCTCCATCAGTTAATTCTCCCTTATTTGCGAACTAATTTTCTAAAATAGAGTTTAGTGAGTGCTGAGTTATCAAAGTGAAACTTTAATGACCCCTTAAATCTGCAGCTGATGTGTTTTGTCAGCTTGTACTTTAAAACACCCAGACGAATGAATGGTTCGAATGCGTATATGTTGCTCCAACCACTGAAAGTGGGAGGTTGTCTTTGGCGGTATTGTAGCGTTTTTGAGCTTTTTTATTTTTGTTTTTCATTTTTTATTGTTTTTCTATTTATTTTTCGACAAAAACTTGGTTGCGTCTAATTTACTTTAAGTTCCATGCTTTTTCGTTCGTATCCTCTCATCACATTACGACTAAAAACGACACCATTTGAAAAAGAACGCAACTGTTTTTCTATTTTTTTGTGGCCGGAACTCTCTGTGTTACTTGAACAGCAATCGGCTGACGACGCAATTTGAAAAAGAAAGCAACTGTTCTATTTTTTGTGGCCGGATTTTTCTGTGTTACTTGAACAGCAATCGGCTATCTTTAAATTTGTAATTTAGGGAAGGAGATGCGCATTTTGATGGCTGGCCTGGACAACGCTGGAAAGAGTACAGTGCTGGCGAAGATGGCGAACAGAAACGAAGAGGTTCAGACCACAGTGGGCTTCAACGTGGACAAGGTGAAGGTGGGCAAAGTGACATTCAACGTGTGGGATGTGGGGGGTCAGGATGCGGCCAGACCCCTGTGGAGACACTACTTCGAGGGCACCAGGGCTCTTATCTTCGTGTTCGACTCCACAGACAGAGCCAGACTGCAGTTGTCGCTGAAGGAGCTGAAGAATCTCCTACAAGCGGAACAGCTCACCAGGTCAGTTGAGTTCATTATTATATAGTTAGTGGCGCCACATTACAAACTTACAATTTACCCAGCAACGCTTTCAAATCATTCAACATTTTTCAAATGAAACTTAAAAGGTCAATTTTTTTAAGGTTTTTGTTGAAGTTTCAATCTTCTCAAGCGTTGAGAGCTTGAACATGAGTGAAGAAATTTTGTTGATAGAAACGTAGATTGACAATAAATGCTAGCTGACAGTGATTGACAGTAACTAGCTCAATAATTGAGGCTCTTTTTTGGTTTTGCTTCCCCATCTGGCATAAACATCAATTTTACATTGTAACCAGTTACAGTTATTTCACAAAGTTTTCTATTAAACCTTGGTATGTGTCTAAAGTTGAGTGTTAATTTTTGAAGACATTTTGTATTGCCATAGAAACATGAAAATACAATCGGAAATGTTTACAGGTCAGGTGTGATGAACAGAAACCCCAGACGATTAAGAAACGTTTTTAATGCGTTTTTTAATCAAGTTTTGAATGCAAGTGAGCTTTTTGAACTCGGAATGATAGAGCAATTAATTTCAAATTCAATAATACAAATATCTATTTGATTTATCCGAAATGATATCTCTATTTGAAATATCTAGAAACTTAATTTTATTTTATATAGCAGAAGAGGGGGCTATACTTCACAAAAATCTGCATCCATTGATTAAGAGTTATTGAACGCATTGAAGACTCTTATATAGGTTGTAGTGATTTTTTTAGAATTGTCTAAAATTTTGTTCTGCTCTAATTTTTTTTCAAATTGTGGTTTGGCTTTTGTATTCTTCGCACTAGCCAGCTTGCGAGCGTTAGTGTATTAGTATGAACCTTTTTTTTCTAAACTAACTCGCAAATAAAAAGTTTTCATTGAAAGTGTTCACTTAAATGGACATTTATCTGTAGAATTGGAAATTGCATTGCATCTGTTTTCTGCTTTATTTGGGGCTAGTGTTTCCAATGAATTAAGAATCGGTGGCTGAGTGGTTATTGCGTGAGACTCAAAATTTCTAGGTCGAAGTAGGTTGTATGTTCAAATCCGAGATGAAGCCGAATGCTTAAGATTAACGAACGTAGTGGAGACTAAAGTAATGAACGTAGTGAAGACTATTATATAGGTCTTGCTAATTTTTTTTCTTAAAATGCTCTAGTTACTACAGATGTGCATTCATACATATTAATGCATTTATAAATGCACTTAGGTATATATCCACTTTTTGAGTTCAATAAAAATTCATCTGCTGAAAGTGACGTAAATAGCACTCTCCGAATATGAAGGTGGAAATGGCGCGAAAAACGTGAACGATTTCTAGTTTCGAAAGTGGAATTCATTTTTAAGATTTCCCAGCGGAATAAAAACTTTACCTTTTGATCCAGTTTTCTCAAGTTAGGTTCATATTATCAAAAAAGCGCCAATCATAAATTGTTCTAGAAATTCAAAGAGCTTAACGGGCATCTATTTTTTTCTTTGAAATTCGAATGTTTTTCAAGCGTTTTTTTAACGTTTACTTGCGTTCATTATTCTGTTCCAATCTTCGATTGGCTAATTTCACTAATTCGAGGTTTACTTCTTTTTTTCGTTTTGCACTTCATAAAGCTGCTTTTTGTCGTTTTCTCGCTAGTGTTTGCGAAGCGCAGCTTCGCCTCTGTGTTTAAGTTAAGTTCATTTTCTTGTTTGTTGAATGAACGCAAACTCGACTATCGAACAGCAAAATTCTAAGGCTCACAATAAACGTGATCGACATCTTATTTCGAAAGTGAATTTAATTTTCAGATTATCCAGCGGAATTAAACTTTACCTATTGATCCAGTTTTCTCAAATTGAGTTAATTTATACAATTGCGAGATTATACTTTTTCCCATACGAAACTTTTTTTACAACTTCTTACTTGATTTTCTTATTTGCTTTGTTTGTGATCTTTAACAATTTCTAGGTTTGTTCTTACTTGGTCTAGAGATAGCGTGCTTGCCTTTGCACCCTAAAGTCGGGCTCCATTTCGGGCCGGATCCTGTTTTTTTTCTGTGTGTATGAAATTTGAATTGTTTTCCGGTAGCCATTTAAATGTCGGATTTTTGTTTCTGTGCTGAAATATTGTCGTCTTAGTTGCCGCATTACGGATTTTTCTGCTTTTTTCTTTCTCTTTCCTTGCATTCATTGAATCTTTTCCAACTGTCTGTTGGCTATGTTCATTGTAGTTTCCGGGGGACTTGAAATTTTTTACAAAGTCAATTTCTTTGGCTCAGCTGGGGTCTGCTCAAAAATTGTCGGCTTTGTTTCCGCTTTTTTTCGCGGCTAATTTAAAGTGAAAAAATTCGTGTTCAGTTTTACTAAAAAAATAAACTTTTCGTGTTCAGTTGTAATCAATCCGCTGAAGGCAAGCCGAAATGCGCTCTCCGATAAACAAAAAAAAACTGTGGAAATGCTGCGAAAAACGTGATCGATTTTTAATTCCGAAAGTGGATTTTAATTTAAGATTTCTCAGCCGAAGAAAAACTTTTGATCCAGTTTTCTCAAATTGGGTTCATTTTAAAAGGGACTATCATAAATTGTTCCAGAAAATCAAAGAGCTTCAAGGCCATCTATGTTTTCTTCGAAATTTGAAAGCACAAATTTTTCAAAAACTATTCAGTGTTTTCTGCTGAATTTAGTTCCTTGACTCTTTTTTAACTGTTTTTTGGTTGTGTTCATCCAGCCGAATAAAAATTTTTGATCCAGTTTTCTCAAATTGGGTTCATTTTAAAAGGGACTATCATAAACTGTTCCAAGAAATCAAAGAATTTCAAGGCCATCTATGTTTTCTTCGAAATTGGAAAGCTCAGATTTTTTCAAAAAACTATTCAGTTTTTCTGCTGAATTTAGTTCCTTGACCCTTTTCGAACTGTTTTTTAGTTGTTTTCTTTCGCTTTTAATCATAGTCATTCATTATTGTATGGAAAGTTGTAGGAAGCTCGGCTTTTCGTCTGTGTGAAATTGTCATTCATCAATTGTTCTCGTAATAAAAATAGCATTAAAGCTAAAAATGCTTTACTTTGAAATTCGAAAGTTGAAAGTAGTTTTTTCTGTTTCCTTGCTTTCATTGACTATTTTCCAACTGCCTTTTGGCTTTGTTTCACCTTAACTGTCTGAATTTTGAAGCTGAGCTTTCCAATTTATTTACTGTTTATTGCGTAATGGATTAGTAAATCTGCAAGTTGAAGCTAATTTTTATTACAGCCCAAAAATCGAAAAAATGACCAGCATGAAAATTACACTAATAAATTTTCCGATTTTGTGTCTACATTTTTGGGATATTTCAGTTATTTTCAAAAATATTTGATTGATAACAGATTTTTTTGTTGAGGTGATTGATAATAGATTTTTTTTTTTTGTAAGTTTGATATATGAAAGCTAATGAACAAATTTTTTGTTGAGTTTTGTGAGCTGAATCTGTTTTTTTTCTTACTTTTATTTTTTAAATTTTTTGGTACGTATTCATTCTTGATCGGAGTTTTCCTTTTCTGCTTATTTTCAAAACTAACTGTTTTTTAGAGTGTAAATTGAGAGTTTTTATCTTCAGCTAAAGGAAGTACTTCGTATATAATTATGGTGCACACTGCTAAGATGGTATATAGTTGGTGGATTTTATATCAGCTAGAAATAGTTGCAGTTGCTGAGCTCTAATTGCAGATAGGGATTTAGGTTCTGATTATCTATAAGGAACGTTTCGTTCCTGGCGTTTCTCGAAGTAGCTTTGGAGGGTTCGCTTGTTTGATTTGAATTGCATAATATATCACTGATGTATTTTAATGGAAATAGTAACGTGTGCAATGTATGTGTGTGTTGGAAGGTGTCCCCTCCTGATTCTGCTGAACAAGCAAGACTGTGCGGACATTCTGACCAGAGATGAGTTGGTGGAAGCATTGAGTAGTCTGGATAGTGAGTTGAGCACAAGGGACTACTTGGCCCAGCCCACAGTGGCCACAGACGGAATAGGACTCTTAGAGGGCTTCAAGTGGCTGGCCAACACACAACACACCACATCCAACACCTCCTCATCGCGACACAAAAAGAAACAGAAGCAGAGAGAAAAGTAGCATCACCTTCGTCCTCCTCAGTAGTCGATACCAGAAACAGATTTAGTTATACGTACTTGGATTCAGATGGCACCAACTGCTCATTTTAATTGTCTACACAAATTGAGGGGGCCATTATCTATTTCGAGTACATTATTTGCTTAAAACTTAAACATAATCAATGTCAAGATAAATGAATTGTAATTTTTGCGTTTAGTTTTCCGAAAATGAAGAATCTGGAAAATGTGAACCAAAATAAAATTAATTGACTTTATAATAATGGAGTTTTTCCATTTTAGGTAGACAGGCATTGAACTAGTTTGACGAGATTGGCGTTCTTGACATTGATCATATAAGCCTAGAGGCTTTAAATTTGTTTGATAATGAAATATAGCTTGGAGTGACGATCTAAAATGTCATCGATTTGATTTATGTTATTGTTTCCGATGTTCTTTCCTCAATTTTGTTCTTCTGTGTATCATTTTTGAAAAAGATAACTAATTTTAGATTTTCATGGTTTTAATTTAAAAAAGTTGAGAAAGGAAAGTTTTCTAATATTTATTGCTAATTGAATCAAACATCTTCATATAGATTTTCAGTTTAATTCAAAACAATCAGATTGTCCTTTTTCACTTTTTAGGCAAACGTTTAAAAGATGTTTGAAGCCTTAAAACATTGAAGCATCTGATATGATCTGTTGCATGCAAGATGTGTCAACTGCGCATAAAATGGGACGAAAGCTAAGTTCAAACCGCAAAGTGTAGAGTATCAGTTATTTGAGTGTTTCGACATAGCTTGCTTGACCGAGTCGGTTTTTAGACGTTTATGTTCAGCAATATCCTCAGCAGAAGATTGACGCGGACGTAAGTTCGAGTTTCGCTGCTTCTATTTTTGCTTTGAAGACATGCTAAAAAGCTCAAACTATGAAAAAAGTGTAAATGAAAAAAATTTCTGGAAATTTTAAAATATATGGCCCTGAAACTCTAAGGACAAACCGTACAATCCAAGTTGATTTAAAGGAGAGAAAATATTATTTTTTGAAAGATAACTTAAAATAGAATTTAATATCATTACATAACAGATTTGATTATCAAAACGTAATTCAAACGTCAATTAAACTAATTTTGTAGCCCAGCAAAATACAAACTGTATCAAAAATTACAATTTGCAAGTTTGTATGAAACGTTTTTTTATACAGCTGTTATTTTCAGAAGTAATACATATTTGAGTAGGACAATATAAGGCAGGTCACTTTGGGGTGGGATTCATTTTAGGTCTGGTGGTGCACTTAACAAACTAAAAACAACATTTCCATGTTTCGAGCTGAAATTAATTTGTTTGAATCTGATTGGCTAATTAGCCAATCATTTTCCAACAACATGGTCTGTCAATTCATTTTTTTTTGTCTGGAAAAGTTTCTTAATTGGCTTGACTTTAATTTGTTAATTGTAAAAAGTTGGAAATAATTATTAAGAGTAAGGAACGTTAGGAATGCTCTAGTTACTACAGATGTGCATTCATACATATTAATGCATTTATAAATGCACTTAGGTATATATATGCCCTTTTTGAGTTCAGTTGAAATTCATCCGCTGAAATTTAAGTAAATATCACTCAGCAAATACGAATGTGCAAATTGCGCAAAAAATCGTGAACAATTTCTAGTTTCGAAAGTGGAATTTAATTTTTAGATTTCCAGCGGATTAAAAACTGTGCTAATTGATCCAGTTTTCTCAAATTAGGTTAATGCTATCACAAAAACGACAATCGTAAACTGTTCCAGAATTTCGAAGAGATTAAAGAGCATCTATTTTTTTCCAACAAAGTAAGTGTTTTTTTTTGTTTACTTGCGTTCATTACTCTTTTCCAACTGTCTGTTGGCTATGTTTGAATTGCTTAACCGTGTTAAATTTAGCCAATCAGACTCGACCGCATTAATTTTTTTTTAGCTCAAGGTAGTTGGAAAATTTTAATAAATCAAAATTTCTGCATCTTGAGCTGAAAATTTATGCGGCCGAGTCTGATTGGTTATTTGAGCCAATCAAATTCGAGTAGCAGGTCAGAATTTTGTAAAATATTTGCATCTTTGTCCAATTATGAAAATAAAGTCAAGTCGGTTGATTTATGAAATTTTTCCAATTGTCTCTTTGTATACTTTCGCTAAGACACTCTTCTTTTTCGCAATGATGTTCCTCCTTTCGATCCTGCAATTACTATATCTAAAAGTGAGTGAGATAATCATAACTATCAACTTACAAATTACCGCTAAACCTGCATAATTATGGGTAACTCAACGTACAAATAACTCACAGCAGATATATGGGTAAAACAACCGTTTAAGTTCGCGAAAAGCTAGCGTTATCAAATCGGAATGTATATTTTTTCAGGAGGTTAACTAGTTCAATAAAATAATTTGATTCATAAAAAATAAATATCAAGATGTTAATCCGAGCATGTGGCGTAGAGGTAACGCACATTCGCGGTTAGACAAAGATCCTTGGTTCGAATCCGACCTGGACGTACTTTTTTAAGCGGAAAGTTTTTGCCTCACCTCAAATCTTTAGAATTATGTTTGTCCACTTATTTTTTGACGACTTAAGTGCCACTGCGAGGGTTTTGCCTATTATGAATTTAACATTTTTACGATAATTGAAAATCTTTTCAATGTCTTCCGGTTAAGTAAATGCGTTCCTAGAAATTTGCTGAAATGTTTTTGATGTTTTTTTTTAGTTGTTGTACTTTTCTTGCTGACAATTTTCCGAAGCTTTTCTCCATGTTTTACATTTTGTCTTTTTTTTCAAAAGAAAGCAGTAAATAGGGCATTTACGAGTTTTCAAATTTTGATTCTTCCTGATTGCAATAATTGGAAGAAAAAATATGAATATGCCAGTACAAGCAATTTTCTGGGAAAATAATAATTTTGCGAGTTCCGATTTTCCTCCTTTTTTCACAAATGTTTCATTCGCTTGGTATGAGTTTTCAAGTGAGCTTTCATGAATCATAACTAATTTTTTAATATCCTGATTTTTTTCTGAAAGTTGAGAAATTTCTCTGTTTTTACAGTGAATTTTTTTGCTTTTTACTTCTGGCTTATGTTTTTGTATGGCAAGTGGCGCGAAGATTTTTCCCGCCTCTTTGTTACTAAGGGAACGTACCATAGAATGATTTCAAAAATAAATGAGGTAGAAAAATTGAAATAGTAGGTTTCAAAAGTACATCTTTGAAATTTATGAAAGGCTCATCCATTTGCGAAATTGATGTTTTTCGTGGCAAGCCGAGAGTTTTTTTTAAGCTTATGACTTTTAGAAAAGCCCAGAGATGTCTGAATAATTGACTGACGACAAAAGTTAATGAAATGAATTGTTATTTTGTTTAATCTTCTGGGTTTTTGTGTTTTTTTTTGCTAAAGATGAGTCAAATTATGCTGTACAATACGAAAGTGGAAATGGCGCGAAAAACAAATTGTTTCGAAAGCTTATTTTAATGTTAAAACTTTCTAGAGGAATGAAAAAATTTGCAAATCTATTGAACTTTTTCTAGTTGGGTTAGTTTATCAAAAACGTTTCAATTATAAATTGTTCTGGAGTTTCGAATAGCTCTAAGGCTATATCTTTTTTTTAAATGCAAAAGCTGAAACTGTTTAATAAAAATACCCTGCTCGTATCAGAGCAAAGCCCTGATTGTACCGACTGCCCTTTAATTGGTCTCGGTTAATTTGTTAAATTAAATATTGGCAAAACTATGAATTTTAGGCTGATAATATCAAAAATAAAGTGTTGCAATTTGAGTCGTGCATGGAGATACTTAAACCAATTAGCTGCCTCAATTCAATTTGGAACGTTAATAACACAAGCAGTTTTAGCCCTACTCATGGAAGGTTACTATTACTACAGTGATGTGCACACTTGGTTGGCCACATGCAGATCAAGAGATTGATCCCCCAAGGGACCAGAGTTTTGTAAAAGTGGTCTGAATAAAAAAACACCACGAGTATATATATCCTCTTTTTCTTTGAAAGGCGGAACAAAAATTCTTTGATTTTCCAACTATCTGTTAAAGTTTTTTTATTATTCAGTGTTTTTGCTTAAGTGTTTTTGATGCACAAGAATATCAACGTGTTCCATTGTGTTGAACTATCAGTGCCCTTTTTGCCAAGACAATTCGCGCGTTTAAGTGCAACATTTGATTTAATTACGTTGCATATGCGCCGTACGGATGACACCGACCCCATAAGGAAGTAGGGCCCTGCCATTAGTTGAGAACCAGGCGACGGGGTAAATAAACGAAACGAATTGTTTTCAAAAATACCGAACCTTCTGTGCTACTTGCGCAGGAATAGGCTACTCTGGTTTGAATAGTGATTGTTTTAGATTAGTGTGTGCCTTTCCAAACAGTGTGAGCAGAAGTAGACTTTCGGCCGACTCTTTCTTTTCTTTTTCTTCTGCGTTCAACCACCCTTCTGCAGTGTTTTCAGCTGGCGTTCAGGTGCGAAGAATGAGCGACGAAGTTCAGAAAGCGCAAACTGCTCAAAAGGGTAACGAATTTGAACTTTGAACTCACTTTGGCACAAATGAGATAAGTACATCCGTAGATTGCTCCTAGGTGAAACATTGCTCCTAGGATTGGCAAAAAAGCATACTTGCTGAAACATTTTGTCCTCCAAAATATTGATGAAGAAATGTGAACGATTTGTCGTGTTTTTTTTGTACAGAACTTTAAAAAAAAAACAATTCCATTAGGAGGAGATTGATACGATTGAAAAAAAAACCGTTTTTTTTTCCGATGAAACAATGCTTAGTTCTAAAAACTAAATTTAAACCGAAAGGTTGTTTATGTTACAGACTAAAAGATGTCTGTTCGCGTTATTCGGTTTGTATGGCCTATAGTGGTTTGCGTTTATAGTAACTCCAATAATGTAAGACGTTCATTTTCTTGCCAAAAGTATCTAGTAGTTGTTGTGGATCTTTTTGTTGCAGGTGGTGACACCATCTTCGGCAAGATAATCCGCAAGGAGATCCCGGCTGAGATACTGTACGAAGATGAGGAGTGTCTGGCCTTCAATGACATCAGCGCCCAAGCACCAGTACACTTCCTAGTCATCCCCAAGAAACCCATCAGTGGAATCAGCTCAGCCCAGGACCAAGACCAGAGTCTACTAGGTTGCCGCTCAGATCGATTTCAAATTATGTCAAATTCTACACTTAGTTTAATTAAACTTCATTTCACTATCACACGTTTTTAGTGAACGACTAAAAAAATTTGACGAAAATAAACTGAATTTCACTAAAACAATTATGTTGAACGACCAAACAGATTTGAAATAAAAAACTCAACCAATATGAAATCTATTCTATTAAAATTGAGTTTTTTATTTCAAATCTTAATACAGACCGCACTCCGTTTTTCATGATATGTAAGCGACGAAAGAGATAACCAATATGAAATCTATTCTATTAAAATTATCTCTTTCGTCGCTTACATATCATGAAAAACGGAGTGCGGTCTGTATTAAGACAACCGCGTATTCAGACACTGTATAACCAATCAGAGTGGAGACAAGAAAGAAATGAATTTTCATATCTTCCTTGTCTCGATTCTGATCGGTTAATACAGTGTCTGAATACACGGTTGTCCAAATACTGCTACGTAACCATCAAAAACGTGTGTCTAGGCCACCTGATGCTGACTGCTAAGAAAGTGGCGGCCGAGAAGGGATTGGACGAGAGTGGATACAGATTAGTTGTGAATGATGGTAAGAATGGAGCACAGAGTGTGTTCCACATGCACATACACGTCCTAGGAGGCAGACAACTCTCCTGGCCTCCCGGATAGTCAAGAAAGAGAGGAATGAACAAATGTACGGACGAAAGAAAGAAAGAAAGACGCCGAAGAAACTTCCGAAGACTGTCCTGCATATTGTTAACTATTCACTTTCCTATGGCACCTTCAAGCCCCTTTAAAAACTGGTTAAGCAGTTATTTGTTTTTGGTACCTGATCTTTGTTTCGAATCTCGGATGCAATAGGGAGGGAAATAGTTAACAAGATTCAAGGCCCTTTATAGAGGCGAAGAAAATTGGTAAGCTGTTAAAAGAAAAACTGACGAAACTTATCTGTTTGTAAAATTCTTACGTCTCTGTGACGCTGCATCAGATAACGAGTAATGCATCTATCTATGATTGGCGTGATTCTTCAATGAAGCTGAAGTGGTTTGATTAATGCCTGGTGAAATGTTTGAAAGTGAATCTGCAGCTGCAGTTTTTATAGCATTTGAGTATATATTTTGTGTCTTGTCATTAACTAGTTCAGTATTTGGGTTGTGATCGGATCTGAATACCAAACTTTACTGAATGAAAACACATAATCATCCTATCAATGAGCAGAATGAGTCACTTATATAGATCGTGTTGATTTTTTTTCTGGAATTAGTCGAATTTTTTTTTAGCCGTTTAAGGTTTGATTTTGATTGATAAGCGTTATCGAATCGGAATATTTACAGTTTCCGTGTTAACAAAATTGCTTGAGTTATTTGATCAGCTTTCGTAGATATTATTTCAAGTTCGAGGTAACAATTTGGCTTTTTAGTGTGGAGGAAACGTCCATGCTTGACGACAAAGTAATGGGTTCAATTTCAGCCAGGAGGTTCTCATATTGAATGGGTCAATCCTATCAAAGGATTTTTTTTTCATAAATATTATTGAAATTCAAAGAGTTTAAATCCGTTTTTATTTTTGAAAATGCTTCGATAAAAGGTAGTCGTCTTTTTTTGGTTTTCTGAAATTCATTAACACTTTTCCAACTGTATGTTGGCTATGTTTATGGTATTTGAGGGGTTCCGATACATCGAAATTCCTAGATAACATAGCTTAAAGTACTCATTTGTAATTCTTTGATGTATCGTACTAGTAGTTATGCAACGAGCTAAAACGTCAATCACAAGTGTAAATGTATTACGAATCAATTTGTTATGTTTTCAGATTGCATTGTTAGATTATCCCAATCTGTATGCAGCTGCAGACTCCTAAAATCCTCGGATGCTGCAAAGTATGTGCAGCCGCTGGTGGCATCATCCGCTCAGCTAGCTCAAAATCCGCGCCCGCCTCGCCTGTGTCGACCACGACGCCAACCGACATAGATCGAAGGTACTCGATAAGGTACTTTGGTGACAATTGGCGCAATTGGAAACGCAAGACTCCAGTTTTGATCAGAGACACTCCGAAAAAACTGGAACGAAAGGAACCCGATCCGCTTTATAAGTACACTGATCAGTTTAAAGAACAGGTGAGTGAAGAGGGATGGGATCCCATTTACACTTAGTGTGTTATTACGAACCTTCTTTTTTTCTAACCTAACTCGCAAATAAAAGTGATTTGTGGCTAGTTTTGGGTGCATATTAAGATTCCGTGGCTGAGTGATTAGCGTATGAGACTTTTAATCTCTAGGTTGCAGGTTCGAAATTTCAGAGGTAGCCAAATTTTTACTAATTCGAGGTTTATTTATAATTTTTATTATTGCTCTTTATAGAGCTGCTTTTTGCCGTGTTCTCGCCTCTGTGTTAATTTTGAACTAATGCTAGCAATCGATTTAATTGATTTAATGAGCTGTCTTGAAAAATCTGGTCAGCGACAATTGTACAATAACATGCACTCTACCCTTTTTTGGTCCGCAACTTTCTTACCTCCTCGTTTCAGAAAATTTTGCTGCTTTTTTTTCGAAGTCCAACAAAGATTAATCAAATCCGGAGCTTCCAACCTAAGTCGCAATTACAGGAGCTCATTTTTATCCAAATCAAGTTCTTTCTGCAGCTTAAATTCTTCTTGGCAATTTAATAGCTTGTGTTTTAAGCTTTTTTAAGCGCATTAAAAATGTTTATTATTAAGAGTCGGTGATCGTAGTGAAGACTCTTATATAGGTCTTGGTGTTTTTTTTGTTTTTTTTTCAGGAAAAAAACTTAAAATACCAATAACTGCAGAAATGAATTCATGCTTATTAATGCATTTATGAATTCACTTAGGTATATGTGGACTTTTTGAGTTCAATTCAAATATTCATTTGCTAAAAGGTAGGAAAAATTTGCTCTCCGGTTACAAAAGACAAAATGGCGCGAAAAAACGTGATTGATTTCTAGTTTCGAACGTGGATTTTAAATTTTAGATTTTCAAATGGAATAGAAATTTTATCTAACGCTCCAGTTTTCTCGAATTGAGTTAGTTTATCAGTTTTAGCTTTACGGCCATATATTTTTTCTTTGAAATTCGAATTAAAGTTATTTTCTGTGTTTGCGAAGTGCAACTTCTTATCTGTGTTAACTTGCACTCTATTCAAGATAAAATTCTGTCTTTACACAATCGGAGCGTTTTGCCATAATACAGTATCCACTTTTTTCAACCTAAGTAACAAATAAAGGTGCTGATTATTTGGTGGCACCTTTGCATTTTTATATCTGGTTAACTTTTGCTCCATAGCATCATATTTTTGTATCTGTTTATTGGTGGCTAGTTCCTATTTGCAAAATTTTAGTTTTTATTGGAATTCTCTACCGATTTTTGAAAAAGTGGTGCCAATGGAGAGACTGGCTACACCCCTGTGTGCCTGGATTTTCCAGTAGTGTGGGGAGTTTAGAACAATTTTTTGAATTATTATCCTTTTCTCGAAAACTACTGTGACAAATCGGAGCTTGAATGGTCAATCAAAAGAACTTGTTCTGAGAATTGCCCCAGTATAAACTGCTACGCCCTAATTTCAGTAGAAATATAAATTTGGCCTAGGTAAGTTACAAATTTTAGTTTGTTTTTGAAAACTTCTCGAAAACTACCATGTCAAACAGAGATAAAAGGATTATTCGAAAAAAATATGTAGTAGGATTTTTCTCATTGCCTAAGCAGCTACGCCCTGTTATTTTGTGGGAAATTAGTTTTGGATTAATAAAAAACCTTTGAAATTCATACCGTTTTTCGGAGATTTTCCCGTTTTTTCGGAGATTTTTGTCAAAAAGTTTTAACATCAAAACATTGACAAAAATTAATTGGCGATGTCAGTTGGTTATGCTCTCCAGTTTGCAGCAAATTTTTACTCATTGCATTCTCAACCGGCAATGAACTCTTTTTCTCTGCATCTAAGCAATTGGATTAGAATCCCAAAAGCTTCACAAAACCATTTCGAGAATTTAGCGCATAAAAAACTTTTTAACAAACGTAGATACCGAATTCAAAAGTTGTATTAATTCCATTTCTAGGGCTCTAGAAGATAGTGTAAAGATAGCTCTAGAAGATACTTATAAAGATAGTGAGTGCGCGTGTGTTAAGATCTAGCTAATACAGCGATTGTCCGTGAATACATCTCGTATGTTGGGCCTTTCCCTCGCGGATAAATGGTATTAACTGATGTGACGTGGGCTGATTTCTAGGCGCTGCAGAATGCGAGTGAGTGGCTGGAGAGAGACGAGCACTGCGAACTGTTTGGAGAGGAGGAGACTAAGGAGTACTGGGACAACTACTCCAAGTACAAGACAGACTACCTCCAGTGCATACAGAGCATTCAGCAGGAGGTTGGGACACACAACGCCACATCACAACAAGCCACAACAAGGTATAAGCATTGAACGCATAATGCTGCAAGAATGATAGTTGGGTCCCTAAATTGTAGATAGGGTCCTATGGAAAGTGACTCGTGTTTTTCACCCAACCGAGTGGGACCAAATTAACATCCTCCTCCAAACTTCTTTGGGGAGTAAGATGTTAGCTTGGTTCAAAGTGGGAGTTTTCAGCCAATCAGATTCGAGTGTTTTACATTCAGCGCTCAGCAAAATTAATCCGAATTTGAGGCTGGGGTGGAAGATCTTAGCTTGGTTTATCTGGAGAGGAGGATGTTATTTTGATCCTCGGAGAGTCCTATTGGGGTACTACAAGGCCACTTTTTTCATATCTTTGTTGCCAATAGTAGTACTGGAGTGCGGTCAAAAAGTACACAGGTCATAAAGTAGACTCGTCTTAAGCCAATCAGACTCGAGATAAGAAAACCGAGGTTCGAAATATTTTCTTTTCTCGTTTCTGATTAACTGTCTACAGTGCGGATTTAAATTATCCGGACAAAACGAACAAAATTTTGAAGTTCAAACGCGTTTTTGGGTTAGGATTAGACTCAAGAGTTACGTTAAAACTGCCAAGTTATTTAATAAGAAAGTTAAATCACTAGAAGCCTCTTACACAGCCCAAAAAACTTTCAAAGGGAAAGCTTCGAAGGGTAAAGCTTTCAAAAGTTTGCGTAAAACGTTTGAAATTTGTTTTTAGCCAAATATTTTAATTTGTATATAGTAAAAATTCTAAAACTTTGTTGGTGTATAAGAGGCTTCTTTTGATATATTTTCTCATCAATTAATTTCGTAGTTTTAGCTTAATTCTTCATTGACTAAGAAGCCAAAATGACCTGTTTTTAGGGTAACGTTTTAGTTAAGAATGTCGGGAAAAAATTGCGCTATATTAATTCTGATGACTTTCTAAGTAATTTTTGCTCTGTTCTCTTTCTGTCTAATCTCAACGTATTTTGAGAAAACGCGTGTAAAGTTTTCATTGTTGTTCGATGTTTACGGTTAATTTAAGTCAACACTGGATTTTAGGACCTGTATATTTTTTGCTATACCACCATTAGTGCTATACTTTTGCTCATGCAGCATTGCGAATCATATGAACAGAAAAACGATTTGCTTTATACAACATTATAATTACACAAGCGTCAGCTTAGTGTGTTATTACGAACCTTCTTTTTTTTCTAACCTAACTCGCAAATAAAAGAGTTCACACATTTGGAAGTTTCCTTGTAGCATTCGAAATTGCATAGCATTTGTTCTCTGCTTTTTTGTGTTTAATCTTCTATGTACTAATGAGCTTCCCTGGTTGAGTGGTTAGTATGTGTGACTCTTAACCTCAAGGTCACTGGTTAGAATCTCAGACTTAGCCGAATTTTGCTAATTCGTGGCTTATACTTTTTCTTATTGTGCTTATAAAGCTGCTTTTTTCATGTTCTCGCTAGTTTTTAGGGAGAAAATCTTCAGAAATATTGCGCGGCTCATGTTTCATACTTCTTCTTTTTCTTTGACCCTAATATCATTCTTGGACCTGTATTAAGAGTAATTAACGTAGACTCTTATATAGGTCTTAAAATGTGCATAAAAGTCTCTAATAGCTTCAGATGTGTATTCATACATATTGATGCATATATATGCACTTTTTGAGTTCAATTGAAATTCATCTGCTAAAAGTGACGTAAATAGCACTCTCCAAATACGAATGTGGAAATGGCGCGAAAAAACGAACGATTTCTACTTTCGAAAAGGGACTTTAATTTTTGATCCAGTTTTTTCGAGTTGGGTTAGTGTTATCAAAAAAGCTCGAACATAAATCGTTCTAGAAATTCAAAGAGACGAAAGAGCTTCTTCTTTTTTCTTTGAAAGTTGATTTGAGATTTTTTCAACTAAGTCAGTGTTTTTTGAGATTTTTTCAGCAAAGTTGAGATTTTTTCAAGAAAGTCAGTTTTATTTTGTTTACTTGCGTTGAATACTTTTTTACAAGCTTCGATTGGCTATGTTTTTTGCTATTGCAGCGAATTGGAAACAAGACCACTTTACTAACCTGACGCTACGGTCGATCCGAAACGAGGCTATCTAAACTGTAGTATTGTGATATAATTTGCCACTGAATAAATCACGTAGTAAACTAGCGATTTAGTTAGCCTTGTTTCGGAGGGACTGTAGCGTCAGGTTAGTATAATGGTGTGCGCGCCCCGCGGGGCTTACGAAGATCCTGGGTTCGATCCCCCACATGGGCTATTTTTGGAACCCCAAGGATAGTTAAAAACCACCCCAAGCATATATGAATTTTTTTGACTTTTTAAAATTCATTCCCTTTTAGTTTTTTCAATTAAGTCATTGTGGTCAGATTATTCTGTTCTACTTGCGCAGCAATTAGCTCTTTTTGATGAATATGAATACAGTGTGCTGAAGAATTCAGCTACGTGCACAGGTTTGCGAATTGCTTCTTTGCGAATTACGTGCACAGGTTTGCGAATTATGAAGGTCGACTACTCGTTAATTCGTGGATTTATGTTTTAGTGCATCCGATGCTAAAGAGAACTGGTTTGGGAGTTCAGCTGAGAATTTAAACGAAGAGTGGAATTCAGAATTAAAAACGGAACGAGACAAATTCATCCAATCGGAGCTCAGCTCTCGATCTGAGAAAGTGCGTAGATGGAAACAACTGATGGAGAAAGAGAACTACATCTCGCAACTCATTCACGTCAAAAGCGAGAGACTTGCGAATATTGTGACAGAGGAGAACATTGACGAGATGATCTCATTGGCTCTCAATTCAACTGCGTGTGACTTCAACTTCGCCTTAGACAACGAGGGAACTGTGCATAAAGGGGTAGCATTTGACAGAGAGAATGTGCGATTGTTGAATGAATCCAGGTCACCGTCTCTGACCAAAGGTTTTTTTGAGAAGGCTTCCTTTGCTAGGGGGGCTGCTGTTGAATTCGAGCAGGAAGCTGATGTTTTGGAGGATGAAAGAGTTGCAGGAGAACTGGGAGATATTTTTGGAGAAGATTTGTCGGACATGGACTCAATACAGGCTGACTTAAATGATGATAATAACGATTCAAACGTTTGAACAATTTACTTTTTTTTTGGTTGGAGGTTTTTGAGCTGGCAGAATATTTTTAGGATTGTGATTTGCAATCGTCATCAAATAGAGCATAATTTTTTCATGTAAAAATTGGTCTGACTGGATCACTGAACCCAGGGGCGGACATAGGATTTTCTCGAGGGGGGGGGGGGCGGATTTTCAAAAAGTTTTCGAAAACTTTGTCTGCCCTTTTTTTGAGGTCGACCAAATTGATTTTCCGAGCTGTTCCAAAGCATTAGACAGACCCTGTTTTGGTCAAACTTTCTAGGCCGCAGGCAAAATTTTGAAAAAGAGGCCAAAAACAGCGTTTTTAGGCACTTTTTGGAAAATTTTGACCAAAAAATTGCGTTTTTAGTATATATTGGCACCCTTAGAAAATTTTTGGGGACCGTCACCAAATATGGATATCTCAAAATAGTACAAAGGGGTAACCCTTTGGGTCGTCAGGGGTTAGAATCCCTGAGGGGGGGGGGGGCGTCCACCCCCTCCTAAATCCACCCTTTACTGAACCGTTTTTAACAGCTCAAAGTGATGTCTTTAAATAATTAGGCGTCTTCGTTCATTTTGTAATGATGGGCTCAGAAATAACCTTAGAAGGTTAGTAAGCTGAGCAAAATTGAATAACAACAAAAACAATTCCATATATTTTTTGCAGATTGAAGCGCTAGACAAGAAAGCACTAAATTCGTTTGCTTCAAGTGAAACGATGTTCTTTACGGCTTAAAAAACTTTTCTATTATAAAACTTACTCGGTCGTTTTACTCGATCAAAGTTACAGTTTGCAAAAACTTCAAAACGTTTATCTCAACACTGAGAAATTAGTTTGAAAATTTTTCTGATGTTTTTGAAATTGCAATTAAAGGGCTTCAAAAAATTCTGATGATTTTTTGTTGTACTTGATTTTGCATGGAAAAATAGTTATAATAAAAAGTAAAATACGCGAAGACAAAGTTCAGTGGTGGGAACATGAAGATAATCACCTGTGGTCAGTTCTGCAAAAATTAAGAGCATTTGAAAACAAAAACTGCGCACAAACAACGCGTTAGAAGTGAGTTAGTCAGAATCGATCAAATCCAAATGAATCGAGGTAAGCTATTTGATGCAAGTTTTTCATTTGCGCTGGCCATGTGACATTGTGGTTTCTTTCGAGAACAAACCGTTGTTACTTCAAGCAGTCGAAGACGATTCCGTAAATTTCTCAAATTAGACTTTAGCATGAAGAGTATGGATTTACTCAGTTAATGAAACTAGTTTCAGTGAATAATTATCAGAAATAGAATGACCAAAATCTCAAAATACTATGCTAATTCCGCCTACACTATAGGTGATAACCTATTACATACATAACCTTATAAGTAAAATGCACTGAATTGCGCTCTCTCATCGCGCCTAGCATTACAAGATCTGGCTGATAAAATTAATTCTGTCAAAATTATTACCATTAAATAATAAACGAAACCCAAAAAAATAATAATCAACTTGAATTGTTTAGAATGCAGCTTAGATATAAATAGACTTTTTTCCAGTTCTAATGAAATGATCCTGCTTGTACTGTTTTTTAGAATTAAGGTATTTGTAATTTAATGAACGAATTGCGATTTGACTTTTTAATTGATCAATTATGGTCAGTTTTATCATAACGTACATTGAAAATGAAAAAGCTTTGAGTCTAGATTTTTTCGGGAAGAAGTTCAAATTAAAAAAATATTTGTTTTCGGCTTCCTGGATCTTTTATTTTGTTAATTTTTTTCCAACTAGTTTTCTGTTGGCTTTGTTTATTCGATCGAACATTACTTATGATCATTAGTAACTCACATGTTGAAATTTTAAAAATTATGAGATCCTGGAGTTAATTTTTTTACTTACGCAATTTACATTCTAGTTGCTTTCAGCGTTTTAATATACTTCTGCTGTTTGTATTTTATACCCTTGACTTCGTAAATTTTCTTTTTTTTTGCTGATAAACTTCATTCTGCCCAATTGATTTAGGCTTATATTTTATCGTCTAAAAGACTTAATTTTGAGTCTTTGCTAGGGAAACATAATTTTTGTGCTCTTCTCTGGATAGCGCGACATGTTCAGATATAATTGGTTTTTCTGTCGGCTTAATGATTTCGTCCTTTATTTAACGGCTTACTGGCCGGGTGTTTTATGTAATCTTTTGGTAAATTTTTTCAGTACTTTTTTGGTTCCAAAGCGGGTGATTATAATTCATGGTTTTCTGCTTTTTGCTTACGCTAAAAATTTCTGTTAGAGTTTTTGTGGAAATAAATTTAGTTTTAATGTGTCGGTATGTTTAGATTTGAGCAGTTTTGTTTGAAATGGATTCAAATTCATGGCAGAGCGTATTTTTTATGAGTCAAAATTTTTTCAAAAAACTTAAATTTCGAACATTGTTTTGCACAACACTATTTTCTCAAAAAAGATATGTGGCAAGTGTCTCACGAGGTTCATAAGTGTGGTTTCACTGGCTGAGTTTTTTTAACCCAGTTCTCTTAACGTTGCTTATCAAGTTCATTTCAATAAGTTTGATGTAATTGGGTTCTGTTTATGAGTTTTCAGAATTTTTTTATAGATTTTCTGCAAGTTTTTTTGGTGAAATTCTCTTAAGTTTTAGCATTCATTTTATTGTTTCTTTCTCAATTGTTTTCTTTTTTTTTGATCTTAGTTGTTAGCAAAAATTCCTGCTGATTTTTATAGCCAATTGTTTCTTAAGGTGATTCAGGTTGCCCGGCCATTTCTTGACCAAACTTGTTTTGTCTATGAATGAAGTTTGTACAGCCCACGTCCTTCCTATGTTTTAGATCATTGATTGCTATAACAATTGCAATCAATTTTTCAAAAAAAGGTTTCTGGCCTATGATTTTTCAATAAAATTCGTTAATTTTTTTCACTTTTTCGTAAAACTTACCATTTTTTAATTTTTGATTTTTTATTTTGTATCGCAAGTGGTGGGATAAATCACTCGACCTATTCTGATTATTGTTTTTGGTACCCATTTTTGCGAAGAAAAAAACTAATAATGAAACTAAAACACACCCGAAGACAAAATAATTTCAGCTTTTAGTAGTCGGAACAGAAAGTTAGTCATCTGCCGTCAATTCTCAAAACAGTATGATAGTTTGAAAATTTCGCTGCATTTTTAAATATTCATAGCAGTAAATTAGTCAGGATCAATTAAATCCAAATCAATTGAGGCGAGCGATTTGATGCTAATATTGCGTTTGTACTGGTGGCGTCTCATTGTGGCTTGTTTTGAAATTTCAAATCGTTTTCACTTCAAGCAGTTGAAGTTTTGGTTGTTATTTTCTGAGATTAGAATTTACTATGAAGATGATATGACTTAATCAGTTAATGAGAAACTATCAGAAATAGAAAGATCATTTTCTAAAAAATAGTAATATTTTTGTCTACACTATCGATGATATCCTTAATGCATACAAAACATTTTTGATAAAATCAAACATTGATGCGCTGTCTCCTCTCGCCTAGCAGTACAAGATGCAGCTATCAATATCACTTAGCCTCGCGTGTTGGCATATATTAATTTTTCTGATAAGTTTTAAATGAAAGTCAATAATTGAGTCAATTCGAACAGCTCTCGGTACATCCTTGAGTTTCATTCACTTCCATGCACAAGATTTGTTTCAGTTTCGAATATTTTTTTTCAGACATTTAAAAATGCCGTCAAAGTTACATTTAAGATAAATGAAACCAAAAAAACATCGAATCGAATAGTTTAGACTGCTGTTTCTTATTGATACAAGTTCTAGTTGATTCAATCAGATCACATTGTTTTTCAATTTCTTTTATTTTTTTTAAGAACGAATTGAAGCTACGCCTATTGAAGTTGTGTGGTTACTCTAGGAAAAAGAGTCTTCGAAAATGTTCATGTCGAATTAATAATTTGGAGGTTTTATTTTAAACTTTTTTCAAAATTTAATCCATAGCCATTCGCTTAATATAAATTATATCACCCAACGCGCAAAATATTCGATTCAATGGTTTTGGTCGTAAACGGATTTGAATTTTGGTTTTCCTGTGGAATAAATTAGTACCTCATATGTACATTTTTCTCAATTACGACCAGTTTTATCATAACAGACTCTGGAAAGTCAAAAAGCTTTGAGACTACTTATTTTTTCAAGAAACTCAAAAAATTTAGTAGTTTTTCAGTTTCCTATAATTTTCGTCCATTTAATTTTTTCCAACTAGTTCCTTGCTATAATCAAAGATTCATTTTTCATTGGCTGCTCAAATGTTAAATTTTTAAAATTTTGAGGATGTTTGTTTTGTTTTACCATCACATTTCAATGCAAATCAAATTTCCAGTACATGAAACGGCGCAAAAAAAACAAGCTTATATGTACAATTCCTTTTTCTTTGTAAAAATAAATCCTTCTTTTGGGTCAAAAGCTTCCAAAAATGCCACAACTTCATTCTTATCTGTTTTTGTCACAAATCTGCCTGCTGTGAAAAGACTTTGCACAAATAGGGGCAGTATAATGAGTCGATTGCCTTGCAAAAAATTTTCTGTTGACACGGGATGATTTTGGTGGCGCCTATGCCTCCACCCTCAGCGATTCAACCCTCTACCGACCCAAAACTTCCCCCCTTTGGTACTTTTTAAAAGATCCATTTTTGGCTGACCGACCATAAAACTTTTTCTAAAGGCGCCTTTGGCGCTAATATATACTAATTTTGAGGGGGAGCGCGCGCCAAAAAACGTGTTTTTTTGTCAAAGTTTTCCAAAAAGTGCCCAAAAACGTCTGTTTTGATTTGTTTTTTTTTCAATTTTTTTTTCAAAAATTGACAAAACGTTTTTGGCAGCGCAAAAGCATTTTGTCAAAATACTCTTTGCTAGTGTTCTGAGAGCGCTCAGCTCAAAAACTCAATGTGGTCAACCTAAAAAAATGATCTCCCACCCCTCCTCGAGAAAATCATAGATCCGCCATGAGTTGACCTAATCATAAAAAAAGTTTGACGAAATTTTCAAGTTTGTTTTCGGATTTATTCCCCTGACACTCATTGAGAACATCCTAGATCAGCGCTTGTGTGTTTCTAGATGAGACAAAAGCTTTGACAATTCAATTTAAATAGAATACTAGAAGCAGTGTAAAAAGAGAAAAAACAACAATTGAAATGTGTGATTCAAACGATACAAGGGTTCAAAATAGAGTTGAAGCGTATTGGTGTGTGTGTGTGTGTGTGTGTTGTCAGAGGTCATAGGAAAGAGGAGCTCTTCCTTGTGAGTGATCTGAACTCTGCGGATGTGGAAAGAGAAGACTGTGTAGGCATTGGGAAGTGGCTGTTATTGTTTGAATTTGTCCCTGTCTTTCTTACTCGACTGTGCATGGGGGTGTTGAGGAGGATGCCTCTTCTGGTTTGAGACCCCCGCACTGCAATCGAAGAAGACGCAGATGCGGATGAGCTCTGCTTCTGTTCCGACTGCACTCTGCTGGCAGCGGGAGACGCGGAGGAAGAGGAGGTGGTAATGTTTGGAAGCCACTGAACATACTGGACAAAAATAATGATAAATCTTCTTAATCTGGGTTAGACTTCAAATAAATATTGTATAAGATCTTAATGAAAATGTCTCAGAGTGTTGACTCCTTGTAAACAGACACAGTAATTTAAAAAAAAAACTTAATTATTAAAAAAAAATTAAAGAGTTAAAGAAAAACGTATCTAAATTTAATTGAAATTACTAGCTTAATGTTAAACATAGGGTAGAAAATGTGCCAACAATTCGGTCGTTTAGCAAAGCATGAAATTAAAATACGAAAAAAATTGTACAGAGTCAAAAACATTGTTGTTTTAAAACTCGTACAAACATCAAATCAGCTGCTCCTAAAATTTTTTAATAACATTGCGTCCCAGGCTGCTAAATTTTGAAACTCATTCACGACGAAAATTTTAAAAAATGGAAGATAATTTTGTATGAATGGTACCTTCTGATCACTGCTGGATGTGACGTGTACTGGCTGTACTTGAGTGAATACCCTGTTGAAGTTGCTCTCTCTGTTCAGCAGTTCCAGCCTCGCCTGCTTCAACTCCCGTCTCAGTCTGGCCACCTCAAGACTCTCGTCCATGTCCTGCCAACACCACAGGAATCAAGTTAACATCCTCCGAAACCCCCCCCCCCCCCCCCCCCCGCAAATAGACCAGTTAAAATTTTCCACCCCAACCTTTACTTCGCATTAAATATGCTAAGCGCTACATGTAAAATGCTTGATTCTGATCGGCTGAAAATTCCCACCTTAGAACTAATTAACACCCCCCCTCAAAAGGCTTTGGGCGGAGGATATTAATTTAGTCCCACCACAGGCACACATCATACACTGTTGGCCATGCCAGTCTCTTTAACAATCCCTCTTTTTTATTTTTGTTCCGTAGAAACGTATTAAGTAGAAAGATCACTATCGTAGAAAGATTAAGAGTGGGTGGATATAGACATATGGTGGGCTTTCTTCTCCTTACGTTAGACATTTTGAAGAAAATTTGTACGACGGTCAAGTATTATTTTAGAATAACAACTTGTCATTTTTTTTAATTCAAAAATTAGTTCATAACCACGTTCTCATAGTGCCAAGAAAAAGTGATACATTTCCATTTTTCAGATTTTCTTTTGGTTTTCAGATTTTTCTTCACTCCCAAACTGACTTCGAAACAATTTGTACCATATATTAGCCCTTTTCAACTATTTTGACCATAATTTCAATCCATTACAGCGAATCAAGAAAATGGTAATCAATTCAAAAAATAATTTTTTTTCTGTCTGTTTAGCTTTGTTTTTGAGAGATTTCGAGCAGATTTAAATCAAATTAAACCATTTCAAAACCAATTTTTATAGTTTTTATGTTTAACATTTGCGAGAGGAAGTGTTTTGTAACCGAGAACTAGCCTTTTTTCCCTTGAACAAGTTTTTGTACAAATTATATTTGCTTTACTGACTTGCTTTGTTAGTGAACCGAAGCGCGAGACTTCTTTCCACTTGGCGTAGAATAAAAGCGCGGTTGCCGCATACCTAATGGCGTGGGTTTCGAGTCTTGACCGGACTTGTTGTTTTTTTTTCAGTATGGTGAAATTGAAATTTTTTCCGAGACAAACTCAATTGTCGGACTTTCGCTTGTCTGCTTGTGCTTTGCCTGCTTAGTTGCACAATCGGGGAGTTTTCTTGTACTGTCAGCAGTTTTACAAGTCTCTTTTGATTTACCCCCGTTTAGACCTGAAATTTATTTTTTTCCTTCATGCTTTTTACGAACTTTTTTTGGCCTAATTGATTCCAGCCTAAAATTCATCGGCTTATTTGCCTCATTTTGCGTTGCGTCAAAAGCACAAACTATTGGTGGATTTTTGAAAAATTCACGTAGTTTGTGTTGCAATATTTCAAAGTCTTAAAAATTATTTCCGCAATTTATTTAAGACAATAGTTTTTATGGCTTTTTTACGGCTTAATGGGCGTCTTCCTACTTTTTGTCGGCTGATTAGCCCCTCGGTAGATAATGAAAGCTGCAGTGTTGTCGACTTAACCTCAGTCGATGTAATTCCCGAGAGGATTATACCACCTTGATAAATTACCAATTTAGCATTCACAGATTCTGTGTGGGAGGCAGATGCAGTTTTTTCATATTATATTTTGTTGCCAAAATTTTTCGGTCGATTTTTGGCTTATCGGGCGTCGGCTTAAGTTCTGCCGGGCTAGTTATTGTTTCTCAAAATTTTCGGAGTTATTTTTGAGATGCATCACTCAAAACTTTTGTTAAATGCTGAAAATCAACCCCACAGGGACCCTAGGAAAAATTTGCAAACTAGACGTGAGCAAGAAAAAAAATTGATTTAAAAATTCTTTTTTTCATAGTTCTAATTTTTTCTTCAATTTTAAACTGGTTCCAAATTGAAATGATTAAATTTTGATGACTGGTTGATAAGATGACTGGTTGATAAAACTAACCCAACTTGAGCAAAATAAAAAAGGATTTTTTTCAAGTTCGGCTTCTTTTAACATTTCGAATACTCTTTGTAAAAATTCTAGTGGTGCTTGAGTTGGTTCGGCAATTTTATGAATTTCTGAGCTATTTTTTGATTTGTCATTTCGTTTGCCCAGTGATTATAGCTTTTCTGTTTTCTATCGCCTCCTATAAACAAAATGTAATTAGACTTTTTAATGTATGCTGTTTTCTCGTTGATGTTTGATTTGAAAAATAAACTCTGCGGTGAGCTAAGATAAAATTTTTGTGCAGTGTAATTAATAATTGCAAATTGATTTATTGATTTTTTTGTTGTTTTGTTTTACAAAATGGCGCTCAAATTTTTGGCTCTCCTTACAACCGAAAACTCGTTTTAACTCGATTACGGTGAGATTTGGATAGATTTAATTAGCTAACAAAATCTAACCATATCGATTCAAATCGATTTATTAGATACTCAAGAGGATCCGAAACTTCTTTATTGAATCAATCGATTATAATTAATATAAAATCCATTTCAGTTGGCAAAGTGTTCATGGTTAATTGATTTGGATTGATTTAAATTCAGTTTAAAAGGTTTCAAATCTGTTCAAAATTAATTTATTCAGTTTATGTAATACAAAACCTGTGACAAAAACCCATAAAATCACCGAGTCTCTCAGGTTCATCACTTGACTGCTTGCCTTCGGAAACTTTACTTGGGTAGGAGAGGGTTTGGTTATGTGTTTTACCTAAATCGAGTGCGAACACCCTTATTCAGGGATTTGACCCCTGAATACTCAAAGGGTCCCTTTTTTGGTACAATTTTAAGGCCTCCATTTGTGGCTAGCTTACCTAAGTTTTTCTAAATGCATCTTCGGCTCCAATGTATTCTGTTTTTGAGAGCGTAGCGCGCGCCAAAAAAAGCGCAATTTGTTCAGTCAAAACTGTCCAAAAGTTGCCTTAAATGCCTTTTTGGCCTGTTTTTTTTCTCAAAAATTTGCATGCGCCAAAAAAGTTCGGCCAACAAAGGGCTTTTTTATTGCTTTGCGAGAGCTCGGAAAATAAATTTGGACCTAATAAAAGTTCGACAAAATTTTTGATAATTTGTTGAAATCCGCCAGTAACATTGCCAGCAAAAAAAATTAATGATTAGCATTTGAGAAAATGCAATCAAATGAAGAAATTCCCAATTAGCAATTAGGGAGGAATTAGTTGCAGAAATCAGAATGTAAAACTAAAGCGCATTGAAACTCATTTGACTCCCATGTGACTGTATGTGCCTTAAAGGAATCAAAACTATATATGTATGTTGCCTGTGTTCTGGTGTTCCGGCGGGTGAGTCCATTCGGGGGGCTATCCGGATCCTCCCCATTGTTGTTGTCCTTGTACCACCTCTCCAGTTTTCCCAGTCGCTCTCTCAACTGGCCGATAATCCTGCTCTGCTCATCTAACCTAACATTGCAGACAGCAATGCACTTAAGAGGTTGTTTCTTTGTCAAACGTTTGCCAGACGCGAAGAATTTTGGTCAAAAATAAAGTCCTTATGAAAATTGGTGAGCTCAGAAAATTGATGAGCCAAAAATTTTTTTTTTGTGAAAATCGAAAATTAAACGATAAAGGAGGTGGGCCATTTTGCAAGATCTTGTTAGGTTCTTCAAAACACTATGAATCTTTTTTGAAGGTCTATCAAGATCATTTTTGCAAAATAAAACTTTGAAGATAACCAACTTTTAAAAAGATAATGAGAGTCCCGCATCCAGTTTCAAGCGTTAATAATCGATTATAAAATGATTTCAGTACCATTTTTACAAAAACTGAAAAAAATTGATTTTAATCAATTATTAATCGTTTATAATCTCTTTTTGAAATCAAAATCGATTATAATCGATTATTTTTATCCGAATTTCTAATTCTTTTGTTTTGCTGAAAAAAATCTTTTATAATCGATTATAATTGTTTATAACCCCTTTTGTTTGCCGATTTTGTCTTCGACCTTGCAGCTGATTTGTTTATATTTTATGCTTTTCGTAGAGGTTGGTTTATTTGAAAAATGGGAAAATTGTTTTAACTGTTTTTAAATCAAATCAAATTTAGAGCATTTGTTTTATTTCTTCTTCATTATAGTTGTTTCATGATGCACATTTTAAGTTTTTTTTACCACCAAAATATCAGCACACAGCTTTAGTTTCAAGAATTATATAGAAAAAAAAATATTTCACCTACCGCGGGATTCTTTCAAATAATATGAAGGGATCTCTATGAAACTTTTGTTTCATGGTAAAACTTTGTGTTCAGATGAACCAAAGAAAGACAAGGCCATCTCACTTTTAGATGACATCTCACTCATCATAGATCATAATAGAATTTTAAGAGATTATAAAAGATTTTCGGAAAAATTATAATAAATTGTAATGGAATATAATTTATTATAATGTCACGAAAAATGATATCATTATAATGGATTATAAATCGTTTAAACATCTAAATTTGGCGCTTATAATTAACTATAATTTTGATAAAAGTACAATTATAATTGTTATATAATCGGTTTTTTTCTCTTTTTACTGAGTGCGGGGTTGCAAATGAAAAGTTTTTGCGTGACCAGAACCCAGATACCCAAAAAGTTTTGATCGCTGGATGGAATTTAAATGCGTATCAATCGAACAAACCACTTTTCATTTTTGAAATGATTTCATGAAAGAATTTTTATGGTGGTTTTATTGCAAGACTCTTGCAATATAACCATCCATAGCGTTGCGCTCATAAAACACATCAAAATTTGCAAAAATTCAAAGTTAACATGCTTAGTGAATGGTTTTATATCGTAATAATGGATAAAAATTTGTCTGAAATTTTTTTGGACTTCTTTCGGATTTATTAATAACCATCCTATTCATGAATATTGCAAGAAAATCCTCATCTGCAAGACTATTGCAAGATCATGCAACATAACCTTCATTTGAAAGACTATTGCAAGATCATGCAAGATAGCCATCATCTTTTGACCAGGATCTCCCACCATGAAAGGGTTTAATCTTAAAAGGGTATTTTCTCGCCTTGTGTCTTTCTCAGCACATTTAGCAAGCAGCTCCCCCTTTTCTTTGTCTGCTTGCTCCTCTGTTAACTTCATTCTAGCTTCCAGGTCCCGTTTTTGCGAGGCGAGTGAGTGAGTGTGTTTGGTGAGTGCTTCCACTTGTGTCTGCAGATCTCCCATCAAGTAGCTCTTCTGCGCCGACTGTTCTCTGCTCTCTTCTAACTCTTTGGCCAAGTTCATGTTCACTTCTCTTGAATCCTCTGAATAAATATCAGAAGTTCATATCAAAGGCGTAGAGGGGGCTACAACATATCAACAAGAGTAACAAGTTAAATACAGGTACAGCAAGATGGTTAGCTGAAAAAATATTTCTCTATTTGTCTCATATTGTCTATGGGAGAGATAATATCTACTCTCAAGCACTGAGATATGCCTGCTGTGTGGGATGGGGGGGGGGTTGGGTGGGTGGTCAAGTGGGTAGAGGCGGCTTTTTTCTTTATACAGTAGTTTCGAAAGAATCTACACCGTCTGTTTGTCACGCGATCTATTTTAACAGAAAAGATTCGTGCAACTCCCTAATCCAATACCTACCTTTGTTCTTCTCTTAATTTCCATACTCTTAGTTTTTCTTGGTTTCAATGCATCTTAGGAGAGACTGATAAAAAAAAGAAACGTTGAGATTTCGAATTATTCGTATATGTCTAAAAGTTGGTTAAACTGATCAGAGAGCAGAAATTATAAAGGGATTACTAATGAAGCACAATTGGTCAGTATTAAATATCTCAAGTGTCTTAAAACAAATATACAAAAAAGAGCTAGAAAAGTTTATACCAATTCGATGGCATCTACGGGGGTTTACCCACCAGCAGATTTAGGAAAGGGGCGTCCCCCCTAGGGATTTGACCCCCTGTTGACCTGAAGAGTCTCCCTTTGTACTAATTTGACATATACATTTTTGGCTGACTGACCCTAAAATGTTTCTAAGGGCGCTAATTTTCAGAGGGGCTGCTTTCAGTTTTTCTTGTCTTAAAACATTTTGGTCGACCTAAAAACAATCCGCTTCCCCGAGAAAATCCTGGATCCGCCCCTGGGTTTAGCTAAGTGTTGAAACTTTTCTAAAACTGTATTCTGTCTGAAACCTTCTGTTCGTTGAAAATTATATCCGTGTTTTCTTCAGTTTTTCACGGACTGCTTTTTCAGTTTTTCTTGTCTAAAAATTTATATATATATACACACACACACACACACACACACACACACACACACACACACACACACACACACACACACACACACACACACACACACACACACACACACACACACACACACACACACACACACACACACACACACACACACACACACACACACACACACACACACACACACACACACACACACACACACACACACACACACACACACACACACACACACACACACACACACACACACACACACACACACACACACACACACACACACACACACACACACACACACACACACACACACACACACACACACACACACACACACACACACACACACACACACACACACACACACACACACACACACACACACACACACACACACACACACACACACACACACACACACACACACACACACACACACACACACACACACACACACACACACACACACACACACACACACACACACACACACACACACACACACACACACACACACACACACACACACACACACACACACACACACACACACACACACACACACACACACACACACACACACACACACACACACACACACACACACACACACACACACACACACACACACACACACACACACACACACACACACACACACACACACACACACACACACACACACACACACACACACACACACACACACACACACACACACACACACACACACACACACACACACACACACACACACACACACACACACACACACACACATATATATATACCTTACTTATATATGCTACCTTACTCAGCAGAATTGAATTTTGAAGAAAAAACGCTCATAGAGCTCTTAAAGTGGTCGACAAATTCCACAGATCAAAAATTTTTCGTTTGTTACTCTTTACATTTTTCCGGAAAACAAAAGACACAAGTAAGGAATGAAATTTGGATAATAAACTTATGTTATGAAATCCAAAAACAGACCTGGTAAATTTACAAAGCTGCCGTAGTAAATTGACAGATTATTAAATAATAAAATTTGATGTCTTATCAAAATGACTGTCTTATCAAATTGACTGTCTAATCGAATTGGCTGTCATATCAAATTGACTGTCTTGTCTTATTAAATTGACTGTTTCATTCGAGATGCTGTTTGAATTTCTGATTAGTTTTTCATTTGACTTTTGTTTCTTCTTCCTTTTAAAAAAGGCGGATTGTTAAGTGTAGATCCAAAAATAAATTTCACTCAAACTTTAAAACGAACAATTCGAATCTTAACTATATCTCCCCCCCCCTCCACTGATTGATAACCTGTATTAGAGGATATTAAAACAACTATTTCTCAAGGGAAATAACCGAAAATACGAGCTGTTCAGCTCTTAACGGAGCACCGCTGTTGTGCCTGCCCCTGGTTACTTTTCTGGACTGGGTAGTGTTGCCTCACCCTCAAGCAACAAGCACGGATCATGGTGGGCATCGAACCCTCGACCGTTGACCTTTCTACTACCTAGAAATTCTGAAAGAATATGTGTCAATTAGGTGAGAGATCCATGATATTAGTATGAGCCCCCCTCCCCTCCCCCTCTCACTTGAGTTGACTTGAACTAACCTAGACTGGCGGTGAGTTTTGCGCAGTTGGCCGTGAGCTGTTCCACCTGTCGTCTGGTCTGGTCCAGATCAAACTCCCGCAGTCTCATCTGGGCCTCCTGCTCACTTCCAACTCCACTCAGCCTCCTCTCCAGCTCTGTCGAGGGGTAGAATTAAACTTCATTCAGTTGCAAAAATTAAACAAACCAAACTCGTGCAATCAAACTGTAAACGCAACAGTTGCAATTTCATCGTTTTGTAAGTGATCCAAAGCAAGTCAATGTAGTTTAAGATCTTCTAGAATATTCTAAAATAATAGGTTCCGAGTGCAGTAAAAGCTGAGGGGCTCTCTTGATCCAAAACAAATAAAAACTACTTTTATTCAGTTCAGACAAAATGGCCCAAAAAGCAACTTGTTTCGATTGCGTAATCTAATCAGCCAAGCCAGTACATAATTGTTCCGATATTTGATATTTGTGTTTTAGTTTTCTCCTCGCAAAATCAGGTACCACACATAATCATCCAAATCGGTCGAGTTATATATCATATTAAAACCCTTTCAGTCGTGATCATCAGAAGTGTTGAGAAAAACTATTTTGAATATTCGATTTTTGGTCTAATTTCATGCTGATAAGGTGAGGCTAAGCAGGTTAACAAAAGCTTATTTAGGCTTAAGTTAAGCCATGAAAGTTTAGTTTTATTCGAGCATAGTTAGTTTTTGGAATTTTTAGCGCTGATTTGGGAATCAAAAATTTTCTGCAAAAAAATGAAAAGTTATTTGAAATTTCTTGAATTTTTAACAATGTTTCTTACGTTTTCTTATTCTTTTTTTTTACAAACACTATTTTGCAATTGGCTAAATTTACATTGAATGTTGATTATGTCGAAGTGATATCTTTTTGTTCAGATTTTTTATCACACTATTCTTGTTTTTTTTTCTTAATCATGGTCGGAACATTATGTGCTACTTGCACAGTAACCGGATATCCTTGTTTCTTTTGGTTTACTCATAAGCATTGGTAGATTTGAAGTGTTAATTTTTAAAGACATTTTGTAGTGCCATTATAATAACGTTACTATTATCTGGTGTTTTTGCTAATATTATAACTTGTTTTTAGGAATAATTTTTTATTTATGCCAGTCTTTTTTGGTTCGTCCAATACGTTCGGTTTTTTGCAAGGTGAAATACAATTCTGCTCTATAGCTAAAAAGTATATATTTGTTAGCCCCAAATTATAGTGGTGATGTTTTTCAAAAGCAATAAAATTGTTCAGTGTTTTTTATTTTTAAAAGACTTTTAACAACAAAAACGTTAGGTTCATTGTCATACCGGAGGGTATGATATTCTAATCCTTGAATCCGAATGGATCAATAAACCTTATTTCTCAGTCGGAGCGATTTAAAACGACTAGTTGACAGATAACATTAAGTCATTTCTGTTTCTTATTTCAAATAGAGTTCGTCCTCTCTGTCTATCAAGGTCAAGTGACCGGCCGTCTAGGCGTTTAACATAAGATTATTAAAAATATAAATAACATACGTATAAGGTTAGTTTGTCGATCCAGGCCGGATGACATTCCCCCTTGACAACAAAATTTATAAACTATTGTTTGTTAAATTGAGTTTTAAAGTCCCCTTAGGAGTAATAGGTTTGTGAGTTTTAAAGTCCCCTTAAAAACTAACAGGTTTGAGTTTTATAGTCCCGATAGGACTTTTTGACATCATTTTTCTGCTTGTATGTCATCTTTGGCAATTTCTTCCCCCTGGCTTTCGTGTTCCTCGTCATCGTCGTTTTTCTTATTCTGATCCATCCCGCTTTCTTGACAGACTTTTGTATTGACGAATGGAATTTCGTTATTCGTATCAGCTGTGGCGTCATCTTTAATGGGCGGCAAAGTTAAATCGACCACCTCGGTGTGGCCTGTTTTGTTATTCGGGCTAATTGCTTCGATTAATTTGACGCATGCTCTGTATTGTGGGGTCTTTTCAGTAAAACCCATTTCTTGAATCAGGGATTTTAAGCTTGGATAGTTGTCTGTATCTCGTTTGTCCGGTGGTGAGTCAATTTGAAATTTAATCTGTTTTTTCTTCTCTTCATCATTCTTGTCGTTGATAGCGCTAATGGGTACCGGATTCCCAAACGCATGGAAAAGCGCCGATTGGCGGTTTCTCGTTGATTTTTGTAATGGCTCTGTTGCATTCGCTGGAGGAGTTCGTTTCTGGTTTTGCCGCTTAGGCGATGGGGCAAAATCTTCGGATGAGGCCGATGATTGATCGTCATCTTCGTGGTTTTCAGTGTCTGGTGTTGCTGGTTGTGGTATGTTGTTGTCAGAGTTTGAAGTCCCGGCCGGAATTTCTGATTGTAAACTCATTCCACTCGTTTGTAGCTTCCTTGTTGGTCGCCCGCCGGTCCGCTTTCCTGTTGTTTTTGCTTTTCGCTTTGTCGGACTATCTGATTTTCCTTGTGCTAACATCTTTTCCTTTTGTGTTAATTTCTTCGGGAGGCCAGTCTTTTCGTCTTGTCTGAACATTGAATGCTGGGGAGCAGGAGGATTCTCGATGTCTAAAAAACGTAGGCATGGTCCTGATCTCCGTGCGGATTTATAAGCAACGTAATCAATCAGACGAGATGGTCTGCATGGTCCGTATATTAAAGGGATTGGTACAAATGCGGCACCACTATTTCTCAGTAATCTTGGTTGTTTCCGATTGTTTGGACTCAAGCGGTGTGTGGGGTATATGTAAGTATTTTGCCGTCTATGGTTTTGTATTTCTGTTCGAATGTTCTCGGATCCTTAACCTTGGTTGCTATTCCAATTGTTTTCCGTGCTACATGATCTATCCGTTTGTTCGTGTTTTGTCTACCATTGTTTGTAATCCCTTATAACTTACGTTTAATTTATCCTTGACTATTTCTATAGCTTTAGATTTTGCACCTGTGTCTTTTTGTTGTGTTGTTAAGTCTGAGTTTGTCAGGTCCCGTGAAATTTTTGTTGAGCTATGTGGTGTAATTTTGAGTGTTTTAATAATTTTGGCTACATCTGATGCGAGTTTGTACGCTGTATTTGTTTTGTCAATTCTCATGACCGCTAATCTACGCTTCAAAGTTTGTATCATTCTCTCAACTACCCCTATTGCTCTATGATCATCTACCGGTGCAAAAAAAAAGCTTAATATTGTTTGTATGACAGAACAGTTGGAATTTTTTAGCTCTAAATGTTTGTGCTTGGTCACATCTTATCTTTCGGGAAACCCCATTATTTGAAATGTACCGTTGCCTAAACTTAATAGCAATATCCGCTGTTGTGTTTGTAACGACTGTTGCAGTTGGAAATTTAGACCACTTATCTATTGCAACTAGAATATATGCGTCTTTATTTAGTTCGTCCGGAAGGGGCCCTGCAAAATCTAATTGTACTTCCTCATTTGGTTCAACTACTGGTTCCATTTGGAATGAACATTTTTTTCCTATGATGGGTTTTAAATTTTTACCTTGCTCGGCACAAGGTTTGCACTTTTGTGCCATTTGCACAATTGCCCGATGTATGTGAGGAAACCAGACATGGTTACTTAGGTCCAGCATCGCTGCCGATCCTGGGTGTGTCAAATGCAGACTGTCGAGCACTGTCTGCCTCAATTGTGTAGGGATGACGATTCTCTCGTCTATGAGTAAGCAATCCTCTCGGACATGGAGCGTGTTCCGAATATTGTGCCAGTACTGACCGTAGGAAGCCTAGATTGCTTCCCAATCCCTCTTTTTGACAAAGTTAATTAAGGGACAAAGATTTCGATCTTTCTTGGTGGCTGCAGCGATGAATCGAACGCCCAATACTCGCTGTAGTCTTTGTCTAAATAATGGCGTGTCCTCCTCAGATTCTACCGTATTTGTAGCTTTCTCGACCAGTTCTTCTGTTATCATTTCGTGACTGGCTTCTAACGTCGCGGATCCCATTGTTGGTTGTTCTATGTTATGTGTCCGTTCTTCTTGCACGCAGATATTCAGGTCTACGCGGCTGACACAGATTTCTGTGATTGTTCTTTTTTCGGGTGTTTGTGTATATGTTGTTGTATTTCGTGGTTAGGATGTATACGTTTGTGTAGTTGCTGATGTAGTATTTGATAGCGTTTGGGCCGATGTCGTTCTCATTTTCTAGCCTGATGTGATCCGATCGGTTCTTTTTCCAGATGTATTCATATTTGTGAAGGTGATCTTCGGGAAATTTGACTTTTTACTGGTGTCGATCTACTTTGCCGATAGTACTTCTCTGGCGTCCCGTACGGGCGTTGTTGTTTGTGTGTCGTGCTCTTGCTGTGGTGATTTTTGTACGTCAGGATTTCCTTTCTTTCCCTTTGTGGGAGGCCGTTTATGCCATCTGGGGTCCGAAAGGCTTTCTTCTCTATCTGACGAACCCTGCCAGTTCTGAGTTGACTCGTTTCGTCCTGTTGTCTCTGATGACTTAAGTTCCTGTGGGATAAATTCTCCCTTAAATCCCTTGGTTTCTTTACGGCTCATCGCTGCGTTGTTATGTCGTTGAAATGAAATTTTGTGGACAGATTTTATAATGTTTGTTTGGTATTGTTGAGATAGAGATCGGAAGAGAGTTGACTGATTTACAGCAGATTTTGAGTGAGACTGATTTGTCTTTTTAGTTTGGCAATGACCGGTTGCGGAATTTTTGGAATGTTTCCATGCTAATTGAGTGTTTGAAACAGCATTCAATAGCCCATTGATTTTCGCGCGCTTTTTGATCAGCTCATATGGTGCTTTGTTCTGATTGGCCAGATTATTCAGAATGACATTGTCAATCATTTCCAGGTTATTAATGAATATCCTAATTGATGCTATAACAAATTCTTCATCATACGCACTAGGGGGTATTGCCAATCCGACCGGATTTTGGGATATGCAGTCAATTAATCCCATGTTACTTCCGGCAAGATGTTTGATATCAAAGTGAAAGGGAATTAATCGGTCAATCCACCGTGTGAGCCGGCTTTGACTTGTTTTTGATCGATTGCTTGCGTTTAAAGCGCTGATTAAAGCTTGATGGTCAGTGATGACGGTAAAATTTTTACCATTTAGATAGTATTTAAAATGTTCGATTGCCCACACGACCCCTATTATTTCAAGTTCGTTAACAGAATATTTTTCCTCTAATGAGTTCAGAAAACGTGATGCGTACGCTACGGCAACCCAACCTTCTGGTGAAAATTGTTCGAGCGCAGCTCTTAATCCTGTAGTTGAAGCATCGAACACGATGCGAGTATCAAGATGTTGATCAAAAAGTTTGTTTTGTGTTATTTCCGATACCAATTTTAGTATGTTTTTAAATATTGTGTTATGTTCCGTGGCCCATTCAAGTGGTTTTTTGTTTAGCAATGGCAGTAGTGCGGCAGTAGTTTGTGCCAATTTTGGGATGTTCCGTGTGAGATGATGGATGGAACCCATAAAACCTTATTAATTGTTTAAAAGTTTTTGGTGGTGATATTTTTTTGATGGCCTCAGTCTTTCTTACAAGTATTGTCCAACAATAATTCAATGTTAGTCATTTGGTATTTGTTCTTGTGAATGAATTTGTTGATTTTCTTGGAATCTAACGCGAGTTTGACAGTTTGATCTTTTTTTACTGTGATTACAATTGGACTAATAAATTGTCGATCCGAGCATTTGCCTAATTTGATGATGTGGTTCTGATCCATCAATTTATTTAGTTCCCCTTTGACTCTTTCCTGTAAGTGTACCGGAATACGTCGTCCTTTTTGTTGTATTGGCATGAAGTCTTGGCTGAATTGAGTTTTCATTATGTGATTTTTTGATTTTCCAATACGTATGCATAGTTGTTGAAAATTATCTTTGACCCATTGTTAAATTTCCGGATCCGATTCTTCTTGTTCGCGTACGTTCAATACATTTGTTTATGTTTTTCTTGTATTAACTTGACACCGATTTGTGGTAGTATGTTGCGTCCAATGATATTAGCTTTTTGATTATCGACAATGATGAACAGGGCTGATTGAATCTTCCAGCCTCCTGATTCAATGGTTATAATCAATCTTCCTTTCGGATTTATTGTTTCACCATTATAGCAAGCCAGGTTCCTTGCTGTGTCATCCGGTGGGATGCACTTGAATAATGCTGATTTATTGTTTTGTTGAATGCGCCGTGCCGTTTTTTCATTCAGAAACGACATTGGACTTCCTGCGTCAGCGATAGCAAATAATTCTACTGAATTGGTTTTTAGTTTCACAATAAGACCATTCAGATCATCTTCTGATAGGATATTTGTAATTTTAATCTCAAAAAATTCAGCTATTGCCATAACCGAGAATTTGCCTATTTGATATTCATCCATCCTTTATTTGATGTAAATTCGGCAAAAGCCACCGGATCGTTTTCGGTTTCGAGGCTTTCTGTTTCTATTTGTTCCTGTGGCTCATCCTGCCCGTTTCCTAAATAATAAAAGTTTGTAGATCTGCAAACTTTTGCAAAATGGCCTCGTTTGGCACATTTTGAACAAATTTTATCTTTCGCCGGGCAAGATTGAAGGTGATTCTGATCGTATCGGTTTCCGCATTTATAACATTGTTTTGAGGTGTTTGTATTGTTATTTCTTTGTTGCACTCCTGTGTTTTGTGATCCGCGCGGATATGGTCGACCGCGGAAACCACCCCGACCTCTTTGTGAGTTTTGGTTATTCTCAGAGTTATATCGACCATTCCGGGTGTTGATATATTGTACTGGTTCTTGTTTTGTTGTAGTTTGTCCCCCAAATGGGTTTATTTTCATAGTACGACTATGTTCAATTCCTTTTTCTCGACGAATTGCATACTCATATGCGTCTTGTGGGGTCCGTGTTTGTGCTAACAGTTCTTCCGCGATTGTGCAAGTGTGCTGTAAACATGTCTCTAACCCATTCATCTTCTCTGTTCCCGCAATCAGCCCGTGAGGCTAATTCGACTAGATCTGCATGAAATTGTTCCAGACTTTCCGACTTCTTTTGTCTCTCGAATGCTACAATTCTGTTAGTAACAAAGATATCTTCCAGTGTTGTCATAAATTCTTGTGTGGTTACATTGTGTAATACAAGGTTAGGTCTTTTCTGTTGAACTTGTCTTTGATCTTCGGCTCCCAGACAGAGAAAAAGGTAACTCCGGACTCTTGCGTCTGCTTCGTCACATCTGTACGAATTGCATAATACTCATTTCTCCCGGGCCTTTATGACGTGATTCTCCCAACCAACTCGTTTCTCTTGATTGTGCACCTCGCGGTTTTTCCTTTGTGCTTCTGTTTCGCCCTGTATTTCAAGTTCATACACAGGTTCTGCGGGTTCGACGAGTGTTGGTCTGGCTCTCAATAAATTCCGTTTTTCGATCCCATCCTTTGCGAATACAACCATCTCCAATATGGCTGCCCACTTTGACCATTCTAGTGGTGGTTCGGCAGACGCTCTCTCCCAAAATGGGTTAATATTCAGTGGGTTTTTGGAATATCCTACTGACTGCGCCATGTCATACCGGAGCGTATGATATTCTAATCCTTGAATCCGAATGGATCAGTAAACCTTATTTCTCAGTGGGAGCGATATAAAACGACTAGTTGACAGATAACATTAATTCAACTCTGTTTTTTATTTTAAATAGAGTTCGTCCTCTCTGTCTATCAAGGTCAAGTGACCGACCGTCTAGGCGTTTAACATAAGATTATTAATAATATAAATAACATACGTATAAGGTTAGTTTGTCGATTCAGGCTGGATGACATTCCTGATACTCAGCGACTTTTGAGGAGACTAAAACCGGCCAGGAACACGTTCTAATATTGAGCTGGTTGCATGATGAACTTTTTTGGAGGCGGAAGTTGAAACTACAAAACTCTAACACGAATGATCCTGTATGAGGTCCAATTACTGAAAAACCATAGAGCCTTCAAAAAGTCTCCCACCGTTTTTGGTTAGAAAATTTTTGATAAACTATTAATTTTGAACAGTCAAAATCAAATATCGAGTGCTTAAAATTACGTGAGCAAGGGTATTGCAATCCGAAACCAGACAAATTTCTGGGGCAATTCGCTTACAGGAGTCATCTCTTCCAGCGAGCTCCCAAAAACAGACCTGCTCACTAACAGATACAATTTGAGCTTGTTGATCCGACCACCGAAAATTGGTCGGATCAACAAGCTCAAACCATTGAAAATTGTTGATCCGACCATTGTGTTTTAGTTTTTTCTTTTTTTTTTGTTTTCCACGCAAAATCAGTTACCACAAATAATCATCGGACTGGGTCGAGTCATATGTCATATTAGAGTCCTTTCAGTCGTGATTCGAACCACATTTAAAAATTCCCAAAATTTTTTTCTAGTGCCAAAAAAACGATTGAAGTTTTTGATTTTTTGTCTAGTTTTGAGCGAATTAAGCAATCGAATAACGTTTGTTATATATGAAAATTAGCAATTTCGGCGAAAAACTTTTGATTTTACTGAAAAAAAATTAGTGTTTGGAAGCTCCATTCAGCGTTTCTATGGCAAAAAAAATCAAAAAATTTAGAATTCGTAGTGAAAAATATTTTTTTTTAATTTTCGAAAAAAGTTTTTGTGTTTTTTAATAATTTACTTTTTGAAAACAATTGGAGCCATTTGTGCCTGACTCGCCAACTTTCTACGCATTCGTATAGTTGCATCATCACGCGACGTACGAAAAAAGACACTAACTTGAAGAAAAAAGAAAAGTGTTGTATTTCTGAGAACGTGACCGGAACATTCTGTGCTATTTGCTCAGCAACCGGCTATCCTTGTTTGAATTTTGAATACCCCTCTAATCGTTTTCTTTCTAAAAATTTAGTTCTGGTTTACCAACTCCAATTCTGTATATTTTCCCCCGTAATGTATATTTCTTTCAAAGGATATATTTCGCTAAAACAGGTTTTGACTTATCTTATGTTGACTCAATTGGGACACAAATTTTCAATAATAACGGATTTTCATTTTAATTAGATTTTCATTCGATATTTTTCTTGGTCATTTTTTAATGAAATTATGAATTTCGGGCTCAACGAGGGGTTATTCTAATTGTGTCGTCTAAGTTACCGCTTGCTAGTTTTTTTTCTGTGCTAAATTTACAATGGCACTGTGTTTCTTCTCAAAAAGCTAAAACAAAAAACTATCTCTATCACTGTATTTTGACTGTTGTGGGGTGGCTATAATTTGCTTTGGGGGATATAATGGGAAATAGCTCGCCTTTTATTCTCTCGCCTTTCTCCCTAATCTGATTCTGTAGCTCGTTTACTTGACTGTCATAAGTGTTGATTAATCTGTCCACCTCCTGCGTGCTCCTCTCCTTAGCCAGACTCAGTTCTGTTTCGAGACAGTGACTGCTTCTGAACAACATGTGAACTACTTGCGTCAACTCCGCTACTTTTTTCACCAGTTTAAACTCACTCGTCGCTCCATCTATTGCCTGCAAACAAACCAATCAACTTTGCGGCCGTAGAGAATTATTTCGTGCAACTAGCAAATAAAAAGCTATTGACTGCTAAATCTAAGTCAATATGGAGGCTTTTGCGTGTAAATGAGTTCGAAAAAACGACGGCTGACCAAACCACTGAAAATGTTGCGCAACTTGAAAGCAGCATAATAATATTTGTGTGCCATGGATGAGCTTTTCTGGTGGGCTGTACAACTATCGTTTGGTTGATGCTTACGCCAAGCATAGCTATGACTGATTCTAGTATCAATAATATAGCTCTTTAGTTCGTGTTGAACCATGAAAATCCTTATGACAAATAAAAACAATGAAATACTAGATCATTATGCATACGCTTATTTAAAAAATCGAATTTTAACAGACACTTCAATTTCGTGGCGATGTGTTTTATCAAAATGTAATGGCCGTGTGCGCACTTTGCAAGACAAGGTCACTATTATGAATGATTATAGTCATTTCCCAGATCCTGCCGACATTGAAAAGCGAAAGTTCAGAATAGTTCTTAAAACTAGAGCATCTGTAGCAGATGAGTCACCTCGACAAACAATTCTATCCGTTCAAAGAGACATAAACAGCGAAACTCGGTCCCGCTTTGAATGTTCCATGGAATGATTGAACCGAATTATAGAAAGATCAGACGAGCGCAAAACATTAAAGTCTTAAAGATCACAAGGTCAAATCAAAAAAACTAAATTCGGACATTTTTGTCTGGGACACAAATGTCTGGTACAATTTTATAGTTTAGGACAGTTTTAGGAAACAAATGTCGGGGACACAAATGTCTATGCACCGGGCTGTTCATTGCAATCAAAAGAGAGTCACTTTTGTGTCAAAACCAATTAAGCAGGTTATTCCTAGAAACATGTGAATGGTATTCTAAATTGATTTTGTGAACTCTTCCAAAACCTTAAAAGACCCTATTTTGGCGGACAGCTTGCAAGTCTTTTATCCAGACTTGTTATTATGCAAAAACAGGTATCATAAAAACATAAAGGAGAGGTTTTTCATTTGCGAGAAACAACCGTTCAAATTTTTAGTTATTTTCTAAACTTAGAGTGTATAAGAAAGCGCTCATGAAGCTCAGTGACTTTACACGGGTCATGCATTTTAATTAAGTATCTATTTGTTTATTTATTAATTAAGCTATTCCTGATCGGATTAGTTTCTCCTACCTCACGTATCTTTAATTTCCTTCTTTTCATGTATTAACGCATATCGCTACCAAGTTAAGACCGAAGAAAAGTTGTCCGCGGCCAGCGCAACTGTATCAAAAGGCAAAGCGACCGAAAACAAATTTCGCGAAATCATCGACAGAATTTGCCTACGACCGGGCAACCGAACAAAGTGTTCGGATAGTTGTGATTAAGTTCCAGTCTATTGCGACTAAATACGAGAGCATCGCGATTAATTTTCAGACGATCAATGTAATGCGTTTTTTTGTTCAATTTTTTTTATCGCGAATTTTAAGTCCAGACTATGCTTTTTGGAAGTGGAATTAACATGAGCACGATTTTGAAAGTCTGGAAAGCAAGAGCAGACCTCAAACCAGGATAAGAGCGTGTAGAATGAACAAAAAGTACAACAAAGGGAAGATCAGAGATCTGATCCAAGCAAGAGTCATTGACGAATGAGTTTGGACTGATTGCTTACCAGCTTCATAGACTGCTGTTCATCTTCTCCAGCAGAACCATTTGTTCCATCTTCTGTTGACAGGAGAACGTTCTCTTTCTCTGAAAATGGTAGGTCATAATGCGTGACTGCTGTTGTGGTCTTTCCGGAATCCTTCCCGGAGCAAGAAGATGCCTTTTTCGGCCGCGTAATCTGACTTGTGCTGTTTTGTCTGCTTAGCTGTTTGGTCCATTTTTTAGACACATCGCTGCTCATTTTCACAACTATTAAAACGCATATCAAACTATGCATTCATGTTTTATGAATGTGTATATAACAATGATTGGTTTTGATTGTTTTAAGCTCGTAGACGCTTTATTACAAAAACTTTTGACAAGTGGTTGTAAAAAATGAAGTAACTAAAAACCAATCTGATGAGGATGATTTTTCCACCTCTGAAAAACACAGTAGATCATCCCATCTGTAGGTTTTTAGTTGCAACTAAGCACCGTAATTAGACAATAAACTAAACTACAGGATTCTTCTGATAAAACTGAAGGAGTTAATAAGTGTTTAATTACGCTAATCCTTGCAATAGATTCCCATTTGCGTACGATATAAAATAGAGCAGCTCTTCAAAGCGGTGCGATTTCATTTATTGAAAAATCCCCCCTTTTGTACATTTTTTGGGCCGACCAAATTGATTTTTCGAGCTCTCCCATAGCACTAAAAAGTTTTAGTTTTGGCCAATTTTTCTGCGCTTGAAAAATGTTGACCAAAAAAATTGCGTTTTTTCGGCGCGCGCTCCTCCCTCAAAACTAGTATATATTGGCGCCTAAGGCGCCCATAGACAATTTTAGTGTCAGTCAGCCAAAAATGGATATCTTAAAATAGTGTAAAGAGGAAACCCTTTGAGTCGGCAGGGGTCGAATCCCTGAGGGAAAAGAAGCGTCCGCCCCCTCCCCCCCCCCCCTTAATCCGCTACTGGCAGTGAGTATTCAAAAATCTCAAAGAACTATGAAAAAAATCCCGAAAGTAAGCGAAAATAATCCAGGCCAAATCAAATATAACTGACCGAGTACAGAATTAGTAGATTGCAGATAAATGAACAGATACCAATTTGAGAAAACTTCGAAAATAAAACACCAAATTTGTTGTATCTTCACAGACTTTATTTCGTTTTCTGCTAATTTTGACCTCAAGTGACACCGAATGAAACGCGCTCAATTTATCATCAAGCGTTTTCAACGATTCTGACTCTATAGATTCTGTGCACATAATTTTCATTTATTTGGCATCTAATTTGTCTCACATTTTGTCATCTAATGGAGAGAAATTGCCGTTTAAACATAAAACCAAGCATTGAAAAAAGTTCTAACAAACCCTACAGCTTGTGGTATGATGGTATTGGAACCAGTTCAAAACAAGTATTTAATTTCAGTTATTTACCAGTTCAGAACAAATTTTGTATTTAGGTCTGTAGAGTCCCAACTTTGTGATATCTCGCTTCCCTTGAAACTATGATCGCTCAAGCTGAATAAAAATCGTTTTTTTTTTTTGAAAACTTTTCTCGATAATTTGTTTCGTCACTCGAATCTTTCGAAAACTACTGCAATTTGTACATCAACCACCATTGTAGACCAAAATCAACTTCCTTGAACACAGACACAGTGGCGGATCTAGGATTTTCTCGAGGGGGGGGGGGGGGGGCGTTTGTGGGCACTTTTTGGAAAAATTTGATTTAAAAAATTACGTTTTTTTGGCGCGCTCCTCCTCAAAGTTAGTATAAATTGGCACAGAAAGCGCCTCTAGAAAAATTTTAGCGTCCGTCACCAACAATGGATGTTTCAAACTAGTACAAAGGGGGACATCGCCCGCCTTTCCCCCTGAATATGCACCTGCATAAAACAAAGAACTTGATCTTGGAGTTGCGAGCCAACTGTTCAAAACGCCAAAAACCAGAATTAGAACATAATTGCTTGGGTCGTTTTAAAAACAAAAAACCTGATTGTCCTTCAAGATGTTTTCGAACTAATTTCAATTTGATTTTTTAGAAGCACTAAAATATCCTATGTGAACTCTTCAAAACGCGCATTATTTATTCCAGAACATGGCCAATTCGGCAATTTTCAACCTTTCAGAACCGTACAAAAAATAATTGTAGTTAAAATATTTTTCTAAATTTGAACTCAAGAAGTCGATATCTTCAATAGAGTATGAAAATTTTTTGTTGAAAACTTTTATTTCGATCGGTGAAAAATTACTGAAGAAAAAAACCCCACTTCAATAATTGTAGGTAAAATATTTTTCTAAATTTGAACTCAAGAAGTCGATATCTTCAATAGAGTATGAAAATTTTTTGTTGAAAACTTTTATTTCGATCGGTGAAAAATTACTGAAGAAAAAAACCCCACCGACCATAAATATTCCGTTTTTTTTCAAACATCCGGAGAACAAGACTGCTCGTATATCAAGGCAAAGCCCTGTATGTTCTGAATATCCCTTAATTCATATCGAATAGATTTTGTGAAAAAAAATTTAAAAACTATGTGATTCTTACAAATTTAATACGACCGATCTCTTTAGCGAGTCTCAACTCAAACTGGAACAATTTTGTTGTGCGGGATAAATCTCCACGCATAAATAATTTGCGTTACGCTATCAGAATTATGAATAAATTCTTCAAAACGCGCATAATTTAGCCCAGAACATAGTCAATTTGGAATTTTTCAAACCTCAGAACTTTACAAAAATAATCGGAGGTAAATCATTTTTAAAAATTTGAAATCAGAAGGTCAGTATCTTTAATGGGGTATAAAAACTTTGTTGAAAACTATTATTTCGATTGGCGAAAAATGACTGAAGAAAAAAAATCACACCGAGCGTAAAAACTCCGTTTTCTCCGAAGGTCGGAACAACCAGACTGCTCGTATATCAGGGCAAAACCCTGAATGTTCCGACTGTCCCTTAATTCATATCGAATAATTTTTGGCAAAAGAAAACATTGAAAGACTATAAATTTTAAACAATATCAAAGCATGAAGTATTGAGTCATACGACCGATCTGATTTGCTACCCTCAATTGAAATTGGAACGATTTTGTTGCGCGGCATAATTTCCCACGCATAAATAATTCGCGCTACGCTCTCAGCAAAATAAATAAATTCTTCAAAGCGCGCATAATTTAGTCCAGATCAGGGCCAATTTGGAAACTTTCAAACCCCCCGAACTTACAAAAATAATCAGAGGCAAAATATCTTTTTAAAATTAGTCACAATTGAGCTCGCGTTCAACCTTCTATTAATATATTGCAATTGAACCTTTTGAAATCCTGATTGGAGTTTTGATGCAAACGGTTTTCCCTTGAATGACCGCATTGGATATATCTCAATTAAACTTAAGGGCTCAATTTCAACACCTGTTGATTTTTTGATGCCAAAAACTTGAGCGTAACGTTAATGATTCTAGTCAGGGGCGGATTTAGGGGGGGGGGTGGACGCCCCCCCTCAGGAATTTGACCCTAAAAAATACCAAAGGGTCCCAATTTACTTAATTTTTTTCCGAAGGGCGCCGGTGTCTTTGGCATTTATATCAAAGAAAATTTTGAGGTGTGAAAATTCAAGGTGTGAAAATTGGACTCATTTTTTGACTCGAGGCAGGTACCTGCTAACAGGTACCTGTCAACCTGCCTCATTCGCAGTTTATATACCCCGTTCAAAACTACCTAGCTCATTCTAAAGTCTTCTTCGCTGGACTTCACATTGCACTCTGGACTGGACCCTGGACTTCAACTTCAACCTTCCAGATGTCAAAACGGACTGCTCCCAAGGACTCCAAGGCTTCTGGCTTCAAGACGCTCCAGGCTTTCTTCACCAGTGGACCCAAGAAGTTGCCACCTTCATCCACTGCAACCATTCCTGAGCCTGATTAACCTGGATCATCCACTCCTGAGACGCCCATACCTGGACCTTTAAGGCTCTTAGAGCCATTGGCTCCTTTAGCCACCATTAAAGATGAATCTCTTTCATCAGTTAGTTCTATATCTCCGCTCTCTGAGCAAGCTCTACAATCTCCATCCTACATTGACGTCGGCGTCTGCAACTTCAGCTCACTGGACATGGACAGGGACATCAAGTTTGCACTGCTGGACAACCCCAAGAAACCCCCACTGCAAGTCTGGCCATACAAACTTGTGACGAAACAAGGAAAACAAGAAAAGCGAACTCTTGGCCCCCAGCACCTGGAAAGATATCAGTTCCTGACCTACTCCATGATCCAAGAGGGACTCTACTGTCGCTTCTGCTTGGAAGAAATAAAGAAAGCGGGGGGGGGGGGCTCAGCAGAGATTCACAATGCCAGTAATTTTTACTTTGCTCCAGATTGGTGCTACCCTCCCAGTGACGGTATGCACTGCTGAGCGCTCTTTTTCGAGCATGAAACTACTAAAAAGTTACCTCCGCTCCAACATGAAGGAGGACCGACTCTCAAACTTGGCGCTAATTTACATATACAAAGATGAAGAAATCAGCGGAAGAGGTCATCGGCGGATTTGCCGCGAAAAATCGAAGACTCAATTTTGTTTAGTTTTGTTCATTTTCTTATTGTGAATAAATCATTGTTTTCGTCAAAACTTTACTCAATCCGCCCCCCCCCCTCAAGAAAATCCTAGATCCGTCCCTGATTCTAGTACATGGGTTTTAAGTTTTGTTTTATGTTCTTTATCTGTAGAAAACCTATTACTGAAGCATAAAACCCTTATAATTTTTATCAAAAAGCTAATATGAGTTTAACTGACCGGAAAATTAATCAAAGAATGTGACTCAGGGCGGATTAAGGGGGGTGGCGGATGTCCTCCCTTCATGAATTTGACCCCTGCCGACCCAAGGGGTCCCTTCTTTCTACTATTTTGAGATATCCATGTTTGGTGATAGACCCAACAAATGTTCTGAGGCGCCTTTGGCACCAATATCTACTAGTTTTGAGGGGGAAGCCAAAACTTTCCATAAAAAGCCTAAAAAACTTTTTTTAACCTGTTTTTCAAAATTTCGCCTGCGGCGCAGAAAATTTGGCGAAAACAGGGTTTTTAGTGCTATGGGAGAGCTCGGAAAATCAGTATGATCGACCTATAAGAAAGGTCGACAAAATGTCTGAAACGTTTTTGAAAATACCCCCCCTTCTCGAGAAAAACCTAGATCTACCCCTGATGTGACTGAATTCTGTTGCTCATGTATGTTTTTTTTATTTGGGCTAATGTTAACGGATTTTTCTATACAATTACAGAAACATTAATGTTTTTGGCTCTTTTTCCTTTTCCCC